ACATATTATTTGCCATTCCTGTACAGTGTAGTTTTATTTTTGTTAATTTATTATGTTGGTCATATTTTAAGCTGGCGATTGTTCAAATGTTTTTTCGACGGGCTGTACATACAATCAACGTATACAGGGTGTCCCCCTGTGTGTATTTTTGGAATGAAAATAAGTTAATTGAACACAATTTATCTTTATACAAAAGTGCTTCGTATGTCCGTTAGAAGACACGATTTAAAAATATATTCACACGTTATTGCCAAAAAATTATTTTGTGACATTGACATTATATTTCATATTTTCGCCAATTATATTATCACGCACTAGATGTAACGCTTAATGCGAGATGATTTTTTTTAAAAATTATGCGAGATGGCGTTTTTTTACAAGAGACAAAAAATGTGAAGTTTATTACGAGGCATGTTTTTTAAGTAAGTACCGTTTTGGAATTAAAAAAAAAACGTGCAAAGATATCGCAATAATTTTATTTTTACATGAAAGCCTGTACCTTAATCTACTTTTCTACATAATTTCCGTGAATATTGAGGCACTTGTCATAACGTGGCACCAGTTTTTCAATACCCTCCTCATAAAATTCTGCCGCCTGACTGGTTAACCACTGTATCACAACTGTTTTGACTTCGTTATCGTCTTGAAGACGCTGACCGCCCAGGTGTTTCTTCAAGTGCAGGAATAAATGGTAGTCACTGGGCGCCAGATCAAGGCTGTATGGAGGATGATCTCGAGTTTCCCATTTAAAAGATTTGATGAGATCTTTGGTCCGATTAGCCACATGTGGACGGGCATTGTCATGCTGCAAAACAATACCCTTACTCAACTTGCCACGTCTTTTGTTTTGGATTGCACGGCGCAGATTGTTCAATGTCTCACAATAAGATGCCGCATTGATTGTCTCATTACGAGGCAGAAACTCCACTAGCAATACTCCTTTTCTGTCCAAAAAAACTGTGCACATGATTTTCCGGGCAGAAATTGTTTGCTTAAACTTCACAGTTTTGGGTGATGATGAATGTCGCCATTCCATGAACTGTTGTTTCGATTCTGGTGTGACGTAGGCCACCCATGTTTCGTCACCAGTAACAATTTTGTCTAAAAAATCTTCACCTTCATTGTGGTACTGCTCAAGGAAAGTCAATGCACTGCCTAAACGTTGGGTTTTGTGCAAATCCGTCAACATTTTCGGAACCCAACGTGAACACAATTTCCGGTAATTCAAGTTCTCGGTCACAATGCGATACAAAACACTACGAGAACATTGAGGAAAGTAGTCGCACAATGATGAAATTGTAAAGCGTCTGTTTTCTTTCACCTTTTCGTCCACTTTCTGCACCAAATCTTCATTAACGACCGAAGGACGCCCACTCCGTTCTTCATCATGCACATTTGTGCGGCCATCTTTAAATGCTCTCACCCATTTCCTTACTATTCCATCACTCATAATGTTTTGTCCGTAAACTTCACAGATCTCACGATGAATATCGATCGGTTTTACGCCTTTAGCACTAAGAAATCGTATGACAGCCCGTACTTCACAATCGGCGGGGCTCACGATTGTCGGAGGCATCTTAAACACTCAATAAACAACGTATACAATTAAGAATCAGACTGTACTGGCGTTTGTGCATAGACAAGAGATGTAGGTAACCAGCGCGCATGCGCGGAACGCCGACCGTAGCGCTGCGGCGGCGGAATCGCAAAACGGTACTTACTTAAAAAACATGCCTCGTATATAAAATAAATATTTATACTAAAATGTATGTAAAGGTGGGGGTAGTTTTTACCCTCCCCGTACTTTTACTTGATTTTTGTGAAAGTCGAATGTTAAAGTATTTAGCAAAACATAGACACTCCCAATCCCATTCAAATCGGATTAACGGTTCTTGAAATATCTTAAAAAATGTGTTTATTTTTTTTTAAGTTTGATGCCCTCTAACGGACAACTGAAGCACTTTTGTATAGAGGCAAATTGTGTCCCATTAGCTTATTTTGATTACAAAAATACGTACTAGTTCTATGTGCACGGAATATTGGGACACCCCGTATCATGGCAAACTTATTTTATCCTCTAAAAAGGAAAAGAATATGAACAAAACTTTTTGTAAAATCGAAATAAACTTCCAGTATTAGGTGTAATAATATATTCTGGAAAGAATGAAATAATAATATTTATGGTTTTATGAGAATATAATCCTTTGTTTTATAATTATAAACATCAAATTAATTCGTCGGTGTTTAATAAAATTATCAGATACAGTATGGTCGAATGAAAACGACACCACAATAACAGACATAGCAAACATTTTAGTTTTGAACTTTACTATGTCTATCGCTGAAAGTACATGATAAATGTTGAAATTACTAGATAAAAAAATAGTTTTTAATTGTTTTCATTTGTCTACCATACGATTGAAAAAAAACCGACATTACAGTGGTCTTTGGACCGTATTCATAGTCGAGCGCCAGCCGCCCGCCGAAAAGAAGCGCTCGCTGAAGATTTCTCCGGCGAGCGCTTCGATATCGGGAGAGAAAAAAAGCTCTTTCATAGTCGGCCGCCAGCGCACCGCTGGCTGGCGAAAATGACGGCGCGTCGCCGACAAAATTTCACTTCGGGTGGAGGATTTTAACAATAGGGAACATGTTTTCTTCCTTTTTCTACACAAAATCGGTTATACGAACTTTAACATTCTCTAAATATTTAAATATTAATAATTTAGATATTTTATTGATATTGAGTAATTTAAATATTTTATTGATGTGTCCATTATTTTGTTATAATTTGTTTTAAAGTAATGAATAATATCTTCATAATCCTTCACTTATAGTAAAAAGATTTACAATTTTTTATATACATATTTTTTTGGCTAGGTATATTTTTGGGCCATAATAAAAAGGATATTAAGTTAATAATTTATATAATGAGGAATTCCGTAGGTCTGTTCGGTTATTTGAAAGTTTTATGGATTCGTTTTTATTATGTTTATAAATTTTTATAGACCTTAACCTTAACTTATTGGTGCTGTGTTAAGGATTTTAAAATTATTTTAAGGGAAAATATGACCAGTATAGAAGTAATTTATATTTTTAAATTGACTCTATTTTTTTTGTGTAGATGACTGATGTTTTGTGAATTTGGTATATTTTTTCCACAGTTTGTGTAAATTACAAAGAGAATTAATGTAATAAACGTAAACACAATAGGAAAAATAAAAAATTATAAACATAACAAAAACAAAACAATAAAACATTTAAATGGTCAAATAGACGGACGGAATTCATATGACTCAAATGTAATGAATAATGGCCTCAAAAATACGAATGTCATCGTTCTCGTCGATTTGTGCATTTAGTTGTACATTTAATCGTCACAATATTATAAATATCCATAATTAATTCAGTTTGCTTGGTGCTTCTTTCAACTAGAGAAATAAACAAGACTAAATTGGCGGACCGCCCGGAGATGGTAAGGACATGCTCCAGTCGCCGGCCGAAAATCACCGGATGGGGTTTAAACTGCGCAAGTGTTCTTCGCCTGGAGATCGACTATGAAACGGAAAAAAATACTTATCCAACCGCCCGCCGGCGAGAGAGCGGTTACTCTCTATGACGGATGTGCGCACGCGTTACTCGGAGAGCGCTCGACTCTGAAATAAGAACGAAGAATTTCGAGAAAGCTCCCACCAGCGAGAGGCTGGCGGTCGACTATGAATACGGCCGTTTGAAATTCAATTTCGTTAAATTTTCTAAAGTATATGTGGTATATCAGTACATAGATTATTATATTTCAAAGACTCGCTATCAGGTCGTTTGTAGTTTCGATATTCTATTATAATACCATACGATCGAAAAAAAAACAGCATCATAGACGGCTTGAGAATGACAGTCGACGATAATTTTGGCGAGGTCAAGCCCTAGACGTCATTACTTGGCCCGTACTCATCTTTATTTTTTAATGGTGCTTACTGCCCGTTGGCTTTAAAAGGTTGTAATTTTTTAGGAATAGATTTGCTTGTCTGGCAGTGGCGACTCGTGAGCATATAGGAAGGTGAAGGGCTACATTAGGTTAATAATTTTGTTTAAATACGAATACATTTTCTCATCTATCAATCATTATCCTGCGACGCGTTGTCCTTTTTTTTAAATGGTAAAAAGTTTAGTATAGTGTATAAAATGAATAACTTTTAATTTTGACCATTATTTTTTACCAACATGGCAAATATAAAATTCCTCTGTCAAAAAAATTACTGATATTCTTTAAATTGAGTGCCTGAACGAATCAGATAGGTAACTCTTTTTACTTTCGTGAAATAGAAAAGGAAATTAATAAAATAAGTGACAGTTCTTTCTCTTCTTGCAAAAATCAACACGAAATGTCATAATTGTCAAAAGTAAATTGTCATATCAGCTTTTGACATTTCTAAATATCAGACCAATGCCGTCTCTAATAAACAGCCTCGGAGCGAAATTTATGACGTCACGCTAGTTAGATACTACGGATTAATAAATATGTTGTAGAATACATGGAAAACATAATTATTCCTCGTATTTTTGGTTTGTATTTTAAAAATGATATAGTTTACATGAAATATACATAATATACAGTTAATAAATACAATATATATATATATATATATATATATATAGGTACCTATTTATAGTAATAAATACTTTGGCAAATGAACTAAACTATGAACCATACAAATGCAGCATATGTTTTACAATATATAAATAATGGATAGGTACATCTGATAATGGGTAAAATGTAAAATATTAATTCCTATAAAATAATTTTAATAACATGTCAATTTATAGTAAATGACGTCTAGAGATTGACCTCGCCAAAATTATCATCGATTGTCGTTCCTCGGCCGTCTTTGACGCCGTTTTTTTTTGGATCATACGGTATTACGGGTGCTAAAAATTTACTAGAATATTACTTTTTCTTTTGTTATTTGATCAGGGTATAATTAGATATTTTCTTAATTTTTTAGGTTAACCAAATATTGGAGCAATAGGAACGAAACTAAAAAAAAATTGGTGTTTATAGTTACGAATCAAAGGACGATGTTTGATTGTTGGTTCAAACATTGCAACATATACATATAAAAAACGCAAGAGACAAAATCCTATAGAACATTGTGAATTTTCCTTTAGGCTAAGACATACTATTAGAGGTAGAACAAAGAGTAATAGCGTTTAAATAATGTCAAAAAAAAAATAAAGTTAAACCTGTGTGAGTAGTATTCTCGATGGAGTGCTTAATATTTGTATAAATGCTAAACGCTTCGTACTGTATATTGAAAAATTGTTTGTAATTTTATTTTGATTTTCGTGATGATGCCCTTCACTTAGCTGTCGGTGGTAACAATATCTGTTTTTTTTTATTTCTTGGGGCTAGAGGGACATATAGGTATATTTATTGAAAATTATTTATTCTTTTAATTATGGTTAATTTATTTTACGTATATATTCTTAGTTCGAATTCTTAATAATGTCGGGTTATTTGTACATTCCTTCAGTTATTAGAACTCAAATTTACATAAAGTTTATGTAAAATTTTAAAGTTGTACAACATTATATTATTATTATAGAGATACAACAATTTAAAAAATAATTTATTTTAATAATCTTACGAAACAGCAAAGAATTGTTTTTATATTTAAATGCATTTTTTTAGATATACAGGGTGTTAGAGATGGTTTGAAAATGAAGATCGCTGTTATTTTATATGCAAAATCATCTATATACGAATATGACGTCACAATGTGTGTAGACATATTTTATTTTCAACTTTACCATAATCTGTTACTGAAGCTCTTGACAACGAAAGTGACAGTTGACAGTGAGTTATTTGAAACCCTTGGTAGATAAGCAAAAGCAACTACAAAAGTATTATTTATACTTTGCGACTTTAAAGAAAAAAAAAACGGCAGTGAGTGAGCTTGGAAAAAATAATCCATATAATTTTACATATGAAATGTCATTGATCTTCATTTCTAAGCCAGCTCTTACTGTTGTCGTTTTAATGTTTATCAAGCAAGGACTTTAGATAAGTGTCTTATCAGTTGTCAGTGTAGCTGTCAAGAAATTCAACTATTAAGCTTCAATGTAAGCATTCAGAAGCAACTGGACACTTTTTTTTTGATCATACGTTATATCTATTCTTACTGTATGAATTATTATTGTCAGACTGTTTTGATTTTACTGAATCAAGGTATACTCATGGTTCTTGAATTCTTGCTTAATACCTAACTTATTTTCAGATAATTTGACAGGAATGTACAACTAATTAGAACACGTTCTTGAAACAATATTGTTGCCAACATAAATAGTTTGAATAACTAGAATTGAAGGCTGCCTAAACGTTTTTTTTTATTTTGAACCTTATTTCAGTATGAAGCGTACTATTAATTTTTTCGAAACAACCAAAACAATATTGCCGTACTTTTTTTCTTATACCGGGTGCGTCTCAAAAGTGCCTCACCCCTATAACTTTTTTATTTTTATAGTTAAAAAAAAACGATATTTGGTATGTTAGTATATGACATAAATTGAAATTGATTGACGCATTCAATTGTTTTCGGTCACTTCCGGTTTCACCGGAAATGACTACAATTTTTGATTTTTAAATGGCACCCCCGGGTTTTTTTTTCGTTATTCGAACGAAAATGTCACTCTGAATAGAATGACATATCATATGTCAACTTTTGACATTTTCGCATATGGTTTATTTGAAATTATAACTTGCGGTTGGTAACGAAAATTTGACTTGAAATACCAAGTGTGTAGTATCAAATTATTCGTAAAAAAATGCTTTTTCTAAATATGCTAATGAGCCACCCTCGTTCCATTTGAAAAAATTGAGATATGATTAAAAAAACGATTTGAGCATTTTCTAACTGGCCAGGACAAGACACTAAAAACATTAGACTATCAAATCAATTTTTCCAAGGCTCCTTGATGAAGAATTAATGTTTTTAACATAGCCATGGCACTCTAGATTGAATTTTAAAATACAATTTTTTGTTAAGCGAGAATGTCAAAAGTTGACATATGATATGACATTCTATTGAGAATGTCATTTTCTATCGGGTGCCATTTAAAAATCAAAACTTGTAGTCATTTCCACCAATCAATTCTAACTTATGTCATATACTAACATACCAAATCTCGTTTTTTTATCTGAAAAAATAAAAAAGTTATAGGGGGTGAGCCACTTTTGAGACGCACCCGGTATAATATGTTTCGCGGTATAATGTCCTCAAAAAAAAAAACATGCGAAGCAACTGTATTTAACAGTAAGAAGTTAAAATGTCTCATTAACTCAATAAAAAAAAACTTTATGTGTAAATGTCGATCTCGCAAAGGTGAGACGTAATAACTGATGATTTACAAAGAAAAATAGAGTTGTTTCATGTATATATTGAGCAAAAACTGCATTTTATAGAAAAAGAAGTGTGTTTAGTTTTTTTAGGGAAAGAATTGTTGTAGGTCAATGAGAATAAGGATTATGTTTTTTTGTAGAAATGGACAAGCTACAAAGGTTTTGGTTTTGTCCAACGATCAGTGATTTTTATTTTATTATTTTTTAACAATACAATACCTATTAAATCTTTTAAATCTGACTATTGATACAGAGTGAGTAAAGAAATTCGCAACAGATGAGAACAATTTTTTTAATGCGATATTTAAAAAAATATATAAATGGAATTTCTTCGGCATGTCCAATAACAAAAGTTTTTATTGTTTGAGAACATAAGTCTGTCCTTGTGTAGGAGATGGAACTAATGAGAGAGTTTGCACCGAAATGCTGTTTTCCTATTGGTCGAATGGCGTTGAGGTCGGTGATTGATTTTTGTTTTAGCCAGAGATATGAAGGCAGTAGTCCTCTCTATATCTCTGATTTTATTTGAACGTCTTTAACGTCAACTTCAAACATGTGATTTGCAACCATGGTACAAAGAAAACAAGGTATGATCGATAGCGGCTACAATTTCGTTAAGTTTGCGCATACCAGCTGTAGCCAGACAAAAAATATCCTTATTGTTCAATTGCCACTGATAAAAAGACCTAAAATAGAGAAGAATTAGGACATAACCCCAAAAGTTCTGTCAAATCATGGAGCTTGACATTTGAAAAATTATTTTCACTTATTATGTCAACTGTTTGACAATTTGAAATTGGCGCGCGGAGCTTGCCGACGGAGCTTGCAATGGTGCCGTTTATCACCTGTGACGTAATGACCAACCTGCGCAATATCATACCTTGTATTCTTTGTATCATGATTTGCAACTGTCCAAGTGCTTCATAGCTTCGCGGAAACGCAGAAAACTTCTGACAACCCAAAGAAAGATAGACTTATGTGAAAACTACATTTATATTGTATATCTATCCTACAATATTAGGACAAGAAGTCATGCGATAGCTGCGGTGTATTCTTTTACGTGTATATGATTTGCCATGGCGGAAAATTTGAAATATCGTAGGAAAAAAGTGGGATTAGGTGACAATATTTCGAAAAATGTAATAGAGGAACGTTGTTCAGAATTTGATTTTACATCTATGCACTAAGTTTCATAAATATACAGAGACTTGAAAAACAAGTTTTATGTAATTTTTTCCTGTATATAAAACCTAGCAAGTGGATGTAAAATCAAAACCTGAATAATTTTTTCTTTGAGTTTTTTACAGTGTTGTTTTGAGGTATTTTGTCACCTAACCCCACTTTTTACACATTGAAAGAACATTTTTTAATTTGCCATCATGACAGTAGTTATGTCATACGGTAACTGTCAGTTAGGTGACAATATGTTTAAAAGCGTCAAAAAGAAATGTTGTTCTGTCTCAAGTTTCATAAATATACAGGGACTTAAAAAACAAGTTTTATGTAATTTTAAAGAAAAACATTATTTTTTTGGAAAATCTTTAAAAAATTTCAGAATTTTTTTCCTGCCTATTTATGAAACTTAAAGAAGCCTACAAGTAACGATATGATATGCATGCCAGAACGCAGAGTTCAGATCTTAAGACCAAATCGATAGTGTCCTTTACATACTACACGTTCAGGTTTTATAAAAGAAAATTTCGTCAGTCTAGTTTGGTACAGTTCCCGCCCAATCTGTGGTCTGTGAAGTTAAAAATATTGAGCACGTTGAAAGATCGCAGATCTCATCTCTTCAATGAGATCTTTATTTTGAGATGAGATTTTTCTAGAAATCGTTACGGGGTGTAGGGCCTTTTTTAGCAAGTGGATATAAAATCAAAATTCGTACAACTTTCCTCTTTGACTTTTTATTGATATTTTCTCACCTAACCCCACTTTTTTACATTTTGAACATTTTTGTAATTTGCCAACATGACAGTTATCATATGACATCAGCGGTAACTAAATTTAAAAAATCGTAGGCAAATAGTGGGGTTATATGGCAATAAATCGAAAAATGTTAAAAAGAAAAGTTGTTCAGATTTTGACTTTACGTCTATGTAGTTTCATAAATATACAGGGACATTAAAAAGAAATAAGTGCTGTTTCACATGGAGCGGATCGTCCATTGGTTGAACAAGTACCGTATGATCAAATAAAAACCGCGTCAGCGATGGCTATGAAATGAAGATCGCTGTCATTTTATATGGGAAATGTCATCGATTGTCATTTCCAAGCCAACTGGAAGCCTTTTTTTTTCGATCATACGGTACCATAAGTCTATATAAATATTTTCACGTGGGTGCGGATGATCCGTCTGGATGGATCCTTCCGACGGACCATCCGCGTACATATGTGCTATATGATTTAAAACGCATGCGCAGATTGACAGCACAGGTGAAAGTACTCCGTCGAACCTTAAAAATACACACGATATACACGCGGACTTTTTAATACTTTTGAAACTTTGACTTTGTATCGATATTATGTCACCTAACCCCACTTTTTACATTTTGAAAGAACATTTTTGTAATTTGATGTCACGACATATGTCAAAATCATTTTTTAAAACCTTAATAATAAAAAATCCCGTCTGTTGTGAACTTTTTGCCACACGCTGTATATTCGAAAACGACGCACGAACAATCTTTCTCTGGAAGAACTATACTAGATGAAACATATCTGTTCTTGAAATAATATTGATTTATGTTGTGTGATATGGTGGCGATTCGATTGTTTTTCGCTTTTTTTTCGATGTTACGTTGTGTTCCGACAAATGACCCAGGCAGCCAATACTATTTTTATACAAGAATCATCAATTATTGAAAAAGTCAACAATAGAACGTAAGCATTTTTCTAATCTTCCTTCTCTTGTAATAAATTAATGTTTTTAAAAAAAAGATTGTAATATAAAATATGTACTCGTTATATTTAGGTAAATAAATATAAGTAAAATGAACGGGTTACAGTGTTTTATTTATATTTCTGCTTTTTAAATTGATCACTATAATAGTTATTTATTATACAGGGTGTTTCAAATTCGGATTCCACGATTAGGATCTCGGAAAACAGCAAGAGATACAGAGTGGCTTACGTTGCTTGGGGCAAATTTGCCTGTTAGTGAGCCCAATGATAATTCGTTTAGTAATTGAACTTATCTGTATAATTTCCGGAAATATGGTGGAAAAACTGAAATTTCTGGTTTTCGTTTTATTGTTTACGAGTTTATTTTGACAGTTAGTAACTGAAAATTAAAAAAAAGTTTCGAAAAATATGTACAAAACATTCAATATATTTTTTCATCACTAAAAATTATTTCAGGTATTTGACTCACCCTGTATTATATATACACTGTCCAGCGAAGGAAGTCAAGGCGAAGCCAAGATTTCCATAAGTGACAGAAACAAATCTACTTTTGACTTAAAACAACAAACTGTCACTAATGTCATATACAGATCTCTTTTCTGGACAGACTATACATATATTAGAATCTATAAATTATAAAGCATAGAGCAACAACAGTCAAAGCATTCATAAATATATATTCAGGCCAGTATTGAAAGGCTGTAGACTTGTCAATTTAGTCTCTAATGCATTAATAAGATAGATAATATTATACTCCTTCCTTAATATTTTTATTAGTGATGGGCAAAACTGTTATTTTTAGATAACAGTTGAAACTGTTATAGTTATTTATAAAAAACAGCTTAAAATAACAGCTTAAAAATAACAGGTTTCTTTATTTTACTACTAAATATCTGAAAGAGTATGAGACGGTCATCGCCAGGCGTATTAACGCAGTTGCAAGTTGCAACAATGACGTGCTCGGTGGTAGTATTTCCAGGGTGTCAAAACATTTCTAAATATCGATTGTTATCTAAAATACCTCTCTAAAAACGGTGGTTATTTACAAATAAGCGCTGTTTACAAATTGCGATATAAAAAAAGCCAAAATTCGGCCACTCGTCTATAGTATATACCTACGCCCTGCCCCTCGATCCGCGTAGATCCTGAATTGCGTAGCAGTGTACAGGGTGCATCTCACTCGACGGGCGAGAAGCTCTTAGTTATGATTTTACCATTTGCGGTCAAAAAATAGCAATATAAGAAAATGTGTAGTATATTCTTCATAAGTAAACCAACTACACACTAGAGTTCGAATTAATTTTACACTTAAACTAGCGTGTACCCGCGACATCGTTCGCGTCGAATTAATAATTTCTAATGGTGATGATAAAGCAAAACAAGAATTTCCATTAACATACAAACTGGATAAAATTTTCTCACATTTGCCAAAAATAAGCTTTCTAACGTCGAGCAGTTTAAGCAGAATCGTGGTTAATCAATTACTCAACTTTTTGGAACACCCTGTATGATTTTTTAAAAATTTCAAAATATGTAAAAAAAACAAAATAAATTATGCGTGTCAGGCGTTTTCCCGAAAGACTAACCGTTTTTAAATAACAAATATTGTAATATTTGAGGGCGTTTTCACCCTGTTGGAATTTGAGATTCGAGAAACCCCTCCTTATCGAACCTCAACCCCACAGTCAATCCGTTTGCAAAAAATCAGCTTTAAACGTCCAGCAGTTTAAGCAGAATAGTGATTACTCAATGGTCATATTTTATGAAACACCCTGTATATATTTTTAAAAAATCTTAAAATATGTTAAACAACATATTAAAATATACGTGTTTTAAGAGTTTTTCCGAAAAAAAACTCACCGGTTTTAAATAAAAATATTCTAATATTTCAGAGTAGTTTCACCCCCTTAGAATTCGAGTTTCGAAAAATCCCTTCTTATCGAACCTCTACACACTAAAGTCAATCCGTTTTCCAAAATCAGCTTTTTACGTCAAGGGCTTTAAGCAGAATCGTGATTAATCAATGACCAGATTTTTCAAAACACCCTGTATACATTTTTAAAAAATCTTAAAATATTATTCTGAAAATTTTTCAGAATAAATATATACCTAAATATTGAAACTTAATAAGTAAGTACTGAAACATAGAGCGCCATAATATCTCGACCTCCGTCCGTTATGCTCGTAACAGGTTGAAACAGAATGTATCTAAAACAACTGATGCGTTATTCCCCAACCTGTTTCGAACCTCCATCGACAATCGACCGATGCAGCAGCGTTCCTTTCCCACACCTATTATCTCGTCTGCCGCCCTGTTATACTTGTAACAGGTTGAAAAACAACATATCTAAAATGACTGCTTCTCCAACCCGTTGCGAGCCTCCATCGACAATCGACCGATGCAGCAGCGTTCCTTTCCCACTCCTGTTATCTCCACCGCCAGGCGTTATGCCCTCAACTGTTTCAAAAAACCTGCTTCTTTTATATCCTATTATTTTTAAGCTGTTGTAAATACGACCATTGACGGTATCGACCGAAGCAGCTACGTTCGCCGTAGCGCTTTCCCCACTCCGTTGTCCGTTGTCTCGCCGCCTGTATCGATGGTTGACGAAATAACATGTTTTCAATCCATACTAGTTGTTTTTTGGAATTGCTTGAGCAGCATAGAATTTCGTGGTGATGCAGAGCGCCGACTTCGTTTTTCCTTTCACGAGCGGCCGATCTCTACGTGTCGTTATTTTATATCTGTTATTTTTTAAAAGTAGTAACGGTTGCGTTATGTTATTTATAAATAATTGTTATAAAATAACAGATAGTTAAATAACAACCCATCACTAATTTTTATTCAAAGTACCATATTATCGTTTATTGAAAGAATTGGAAAGATACGCAACCTAATGGGCATATTCGAGACAAGACTGATTTGATTTCCCCTTACGTCTCAAGTGCTGTACGGTGGTGACACCAATCGTTCAGCGGACAACGCAAAAAACACTTATTTTCTCTAATTCGGCCAGGCATATCGAAGACGGTGTGAAACTGAAAGCGACAGTGTTGCCATATTAAAATGTGTAATATCTGTAATACGAAAATATTTTTGGATGAAAATTTATTCGTGTCGAACAGAATAAACAATAAAAATTTATAGGTACTGAATAGTCGTATGATCGAAAAAAGTCGTTTAGTTGACTTGGAAATGATTATTGACATTTACCATAATATTTTACATATTTATGAAATAACTGCGAACTTCATTTCCAAGCCAACTATGACGCCGTTATTTTTTTAATGATATAATATTATACCAAATTGTTTAATGATAGAAAATCCGTATTATTAACGTACTGTGTTCAAAATCCGTAAATCTACGGATTAATCAGTAGTTCTGGCAACACTGTCTCCGGCAACCGCTCACTCTGTCGACTGAAAGCAGAACTGCGGTACGGTATTCTTTATCCGCTGCGCTGTAAACGACTATTAGCATGCAGCGGCGCAGAGGTAAACTAAAAAAATTCTCGGACAGGCTAACGGTAACGCCAGCTGTTAGCATGTGTTTGCATCACAGGAGCCATGAGAACCTGTCCAACAGCAGCAATGGAGGTCATTTTAGATCTAACACCACTGCACATTGTCATTGGTAGATATGCCAATGCGACAATGATTAGAATGGTCACTAACGGAATTAGTACTGGGAGAATTGTCAGATCAGGGGCTTGGAACACCCTCAAAAAGGAAATACCATTCCTGCAACTCCCAGTGGACGATATGCCAAGAACGTACAACTTTGAGAAACATGTCAATGTAGTATTGAGCAATAAGAAGGATTGGAAGAGCGAAACGCTTGCCCAGCAGTTAAAAGACCATACCATAACTTGGTATACTGATGCTTCCAAAACCAATACGGGAACAGGGATCGGAGTGTTTGGGCCGAGAGCTAATTACTCCGAAGCAATGGGCACTTACCCTAGTATCCTACAGGCAGAAATCTACGCTATCGAGAGATGCGTACAACTTATCTTAGATAGGAACTATCGGAAACAAGAAATAGCCATCTTATCTGATAGCCAAGCAGCATTAAAGGCGATCAACTCAGTATCAATCAATTCGAAATTGGTCAAAGAATGCATAGAGAAGCTGAATAAATTAGGCAAAGAAAACAAAGTCCTCCTACACTGGGTGCCTGCTCACCAAGGGACAGAAGGCAATGAAAAGCAAATAATCTAGCTAGGAAAGGAGCGAACACTCCACTAACTGGACCAGAACCGTTTTGCTTTCCAAGTGGTAACCAACTCAAGGCGGAACTCAAGAACTTGGAAGATTCCATCCGCAACCTGGAATGGAAATCTTGCAATGGTCTAAGACACTCGAAGAAGTTTCTGAGTGCTTATGATCAAGAAAAATCACAGATCTTCCTGGGTCTGAGTAAGAACAATCTTCGGATTGTCACGGGGTTTTAACAGGACACTGTCTCCTCAATGAACACCTCAGTAGATTGAAACTAAGAAGAAACGGCGAATGCAGATTCTGTGGGGAAGATGGTGAAACACCAGTACACCTCATCACTGAGTGCGCCGAGACGACAACCACTCGTGCCATGAATTTTGGTACGACTGATATTGGAGATGGAGAACTACCCTCTATAAAACCGTCCCAGATACTGGCTTTTGTCAAAGCCCTGGGACTGTATGATGAGTTATGATTCAAGAAAGGGGGACACAATGGATCTGTAAGGTCGAAGTGATTAACCCCCCTCCCACTCATTTCTAAATTCTAAAAAAAAAACGCCAGCTACATCTTGGACAGGTTTTGTGCCATGAAATCGCTCATAAGGTTGCGCATCTTCTTATTTCTTCAATCAACGATACACAAAAAGTGTTCAGAATTGCATATGGAATTTAAATATCACAAAATATAGAGGGTGTTCTATGTAAAATAAGCAAATTGACAGTCATTTCGGGTAACTATGAAGTTGCAAGAAAGTGGAAAATATTTTAAAAAGAAAGTACACCTGAAAATAAACCCTAACTTAAAACATTCAAATTTGTATCTAAACTACATCCCAAAAACTTTTAGTTCCGTAAAAATTTTGTATAATCCGACAAAATTACCGCAGGTCAATGTAAAAAAGTAAATTGTTTTCGTTTGATATGTTTTGTTGTCAGGTGCAAAAATATTTTTACTTGTGATCCTTGTCCACCACTTCGGCTTTTAGTCTTTCAGCCAGCGTTCTTCTCAGTTGTAGCTGACTGGGTTCTGAGCTGGTCATCGGTTTTTCCCCGGTCAGAATGGCCTCGGCAGCTCTGGCCGATCTTGGTCTTTCTTTAGCCTTGGACGAGCCTTCGACGATGAGCTGTTTTTGTCGGGCCTCTTTCTTCAGAGCGACCAGTTTGTCGCGTTGGGCTTTCAGATATTCTTGGCGTTTCTTTAGTTCGAGCGCATCGATCTACAAATTGAAATGAAATCAAACTTATATATGTCTTAGGCATAAAGTAATTTTTGGTAAATAGTCATTTGCCTACCCAAGCAACATTTGGACGTCGGGACAACGTTGTGTCACGCGACCAAACATCGGGGCTCAACGTCGGCACAACCTCGTGCCAACCCGAGTCTGCACTAGTTTGGAGAATAATTTTTGGGTCGAAACGACGTTGGATACCGACGTTGGCTAGAAGCCTAATTTAGTACAAACTGCAACGTTGTTTAAAATCCTAATTCACAGAAATACAAAACTAATATGGCGTCTAAGTCGTGTTTTATCCTAAATTGGGATAATTATAGTAAAAATATTATTTTTATGATTTCGTTAGAGACATATGTCAGATGGCAGTGAAGGAAAACAAAACAAAAGTATTTAAGTGTGGGGGATGTTTGAAGATCATAATTATTGAAACACTTTAACCGACTCTAATTATTATATATATGTTTGTTAATTATATAAATAAAATAATTAACAAACTCTTAACTTTATTGATAAATGTATTGTTTCTACTTTGAAAAATACTAATGGGCCTTAAAATTAAAGAAGTTTTAAAAATTTTCCTGAATTTTTTTTTTAGTAAAATGAGAATAATTTATTCGCAGTCGAAAAAATTGTTTCCGCGTGTTTTTTAGGGTCAAATATTTCAAGTTAATGTATTCAAAAAGCAGGAATTGCTATTTTAGGAACGAAACATTTTCTTATTTAACAACATGGCGGCTTTCACTGTGTTGTTTTGGAGATTAAGATGGAGTAGTTCGAGTAGTCGCATACTGGACTAATAAAGTCGCAGTTCGGCCTTAACAGGTAGTATACTAGTCGCAAGATTGTCTAATTTAGTCATCCTAGAGTCTAGCTTGTGCCGCCCTCTATAATCTAAATAAACGAGGGAGTGGATAAACTATCGGTAATATATGTCGATGTATATTTAAATTTAGTTTTATATGTACCTTTCTTATGTTCCATTTTAATTAAGTTTTTTTTTATAAAAAACAAAAACAGCACTGAACTGTCTGACTGAACAGAACAATGAAGTGAAAATTTAAGATTTAAGGTTATGGTTCAATACAGTTGCAAAAAGGTAGTGACTCGACGTCCTACCAACGTAAGAATAAGGAAATCTAAACAACGTTGGAATTAGTAAAACAGACGACGTTTACATAACGTTGGAATAGGTCCTGAAACTGACGTCGGAAAACTCTATATTGTCCAACGTTGTAACTACGTTGTCCGAATCACCTAAAGATCACTTAAGCAAAAAAGGTTACAAGACAACGTTTATTTGACGTCGCAGAAGCTTCTACTTTGCTGTAGCACTAGTCCAACGTCGGCACAACGTTATAAAAACGTTTAAATTTATTTTAATACCCATGGTAGGGAGCTAACTATTTTTTGTAACTAATCCAACGTTGTGTTTAGTAAACATGTGGTCGCAATTCGTGAAAATGGTACTTGGGTAGGCATTTGCTAAGTGCCGTGGTAAATAGCAAAATATTTACAAAATACTTATATTTTGCTATCTCCCTAGGTATTTTCTACAGGGTGTTTCAAAAAACATGTGCCATCTCTCGTGGGGAGACTCCTCACGTAAAAATAAGATCTATTTCTTATATCAACATATAGGTCAGATTCTGATTTGTTTCGTAGCTACAGGGTGTCAAAGTCTTATTTTTTTCAGTTTATTATACTTTCTTCTTAAAGTACTTTTAGCAATTCGAATGAAATTTTGCGGGTAAAAGTTACTATAAATGCGACATATTTTAATGTTAAAAACGTATCGACAGATTCACCAGGGACGTGCATATGGATTATATCACTGGAATATTTTTCTAAAAAAAGCAAGTACGCCTCTGACTTTTTTTTTATCTTGTTAATGAAATAGTGTAAGCAATGTGTTTAATGCAGATTAAATCTTGTCTCTTCGTACTTTGTCAATTTCGCGGTCTCCACAATTTTTTTATTGTCATTGTAGGCCAAAATATTAAATCAGTACTCATAAATTCCTCATCAAAAAAGTATGAGAAAATGTTCCAATAAACATGCATTTCTAGTGCGGAAAGAAATGCATAGTTTTTAAGCTACAAGATGTTAAAGTTCTTAAATAAAAAATAAATTTTCATAAATAATTAAATAATTTATTAATTAATTATTTTGTTAATTGTGATTAATAACATTGTATTTATGTCATCAGGGAGATCGAAAGGTACAAAATATTAATATAAAACTTTTAATCGGCATTAAACGGTCTACACAATTTTTATAACAAGAGAAAAAGAAGTCAGTGGCGCACATGTTTTTTTTTAGAAAAATATTCCAGTGATAACCCCTATGCACGTCCAGTTGCGGATACAGAGGGGGGCCCATGGGGCCCGGCCCCTCCTTAAAATCTGTGAATTGTGTTAAATATTACGCTTTTTGGTTAAAAATGGCACCCTAAAAAGCATATTCTACATTACTTTTTATTTTGGCCCACCCCTAAAATAAATTCCTGTATCCGCCCTTGTGCACGTCCCTGGTGAATCTATCGACACTTTTTTAAAACTAAAATATGTAACACTTATAGTAACTTTCACCCTCAAAATTCCATTCAAATCACTGAAAGCACTTGAAAGAAAAACACCCCTGTAGTTACGAAACAAAACAGAATGGGGCCTATGTTGATATAAAACATAAATCTTATTTTAACGTGACGAATCTCCCCACATGAGATGGCACATACTTTTTGAAACACACTGTATATGCCAATATCCATCATGTATCCATCATCCATCAGACATTTGACAAATGACAGGATTAAATTAAGGCATTTACTTATTTACTATTTGCCTATTATAGCTTTACCCTTTGAATAAGAAGACTAAGGAAGGAGCATATAAAAAATCTTAGGTACACCGCGATGGGCCTCAAATATGGCCGACTTAAATTCCGGTTTATCAGTGTCGTTCTAATTTTATTTAAAAAATGTAAAACTATGATGTAGGGTAGACGTGGGGTAGACTCAATAATTTGTTGTTTTATTTTACGTTGTGAATAAATGTTGGTAGTTATTAAAATTGTTATAAAAATATATAATTCTAATAAAAATAGATAAGTTATAATAAGTATTTATTAACACAAACATCCGATACGCTACTGAAGCAGGTAAGTCAAATTAACGTATCTAAATTCTTTGACATAATCTTTGACAAGTAATAAATAAAAGCTAAAATGCAAGAAAAATATATAATTTAGTTAATTTAAGTGAATTTCATAAATGATCGGTTTACTACACGTATGTATATTATATAGTCACTTACTAGCGAAAAGTTGTTCCATTATTTCACTCAATTTTTGCTGAGATCTACCGCACGCTACACAACCAACTATTTTAGAGTCTTTTCGATAAATCGCGATAGTGTTACTGTTAATTTAAGTTCTGCCACAATTTCCATCTAGATTTACTACCTTTATACAACTATCAGTAGTAGAATAAATAATAAATAACATAAAATAAGCTCCGTAACTGACAAATCCATAAAATTTCAAATCAAATTCAAATGTGTCAAATGAATCGTCAAACAGAACTGTCAAGGATCCTAACCCTAGAGACCTTTTATGGTGGCTTTTCCGCCCACCATGCATGAATACATGGATAGCATTATGCTCCTTCCTTAGTCTTCTTATTCAAAGACTTTACCTAAGAGCTTTATGAAGCTCCATGGTTATTTGTTACATATAAGAACTAAGAAGGATATAAGTTTATTATGATTTGTTCCTAGAGGTTTTGTTAAAAGTTTTGTTATATATAGTCTGTCTACTCGTATTATACAGGGTGAAAAAAATGAACATTTGTCATTGCTATTAAAAATATTCTATAATTATTTTATGCTCGTACCTCTTGAGTATTACGTTTATTTACAGCTGGTTTCGCTGGTGTTTTGTCTTCTGTCGAATGATCAGCTTTTCTGTCACTATCAGTATCTGATTTAGACATACTAATTTTTGGTGGTTCTAAAAAACACTATAAGTTCAGGTTGTACCTTTGTATGTTTTAAAAAAAGGATTAAACAAATTGAATAATCATTATTTACCAATAGTTTCTTTTAACTTTTTCTCGATCATCGGCTTTTGTTCAATAAGTTCTTTAATTTCAGCCGTAGAAGTGTTGGGTTCGTCTTCAGGAAATTTTCTAAAAAAATATACAGCGCATGTCTTTCCTGAAACTATGACTTAACTCAAATTAGAGTAAAAAAGATTTCTTTTTACTTTAGTAATAAATTGTTTAAATGCATTTTTAAAATAATTGAACTTTAAATCAATGAACTTAAAAATTAAAAAAAAACGGCGTCAAAGACAGCTGGGGAATGACAATCGATGATAATTTTGGCGCGGTCAATCTCTAAATGTCATTTACTCAAAAATTGACAAAAAACTTGTCGAAAATTATCACTAAAATAAATTATAAGCGTTTCCAGACACAGCATATTTCCAAAAAATATATAGTGTCTGGAATTTAAAACTACACCATTAAAAAAATATTTTTACTCAATATAAAAATAAATTATAACAACCTTGTTAAGACCAACTGGTAGCCATTGTACCAATAAAAAATAAAGAAGAGTAGAGGCCAATAAATAGTAAATGACATCTAGGGCTTGACTTCGTCAAAATTATCATCAATCGTCATTCCTCAGCCGTCTTTGACGTCGTTTTTTTTCGAACGTATGGTGTTTAGATTAGAAAGTGCCCATAAGGACAATGTTACTATTTGGCGCTATTCTTGCAACGGTTGCGACTCAAAGCTTTTGATAATTTCGGAGCGGTTCGGCTTTTTCCGGAATTCTGTCGCCAAATATTATTTATTCAAATTTATTATTATTTTATTTTAATTTTATACATAAAATACAGTGTGTTGCATACAAGAAATTTTATCTTATACAGGGTTGTTCACCACATAGGACACGGAGTATTGTAGCTAAACGATGAGACTTTTACAAATTGTAAGTTTGGGGTTCGTTGAAGGACTATTAGAGCTACAATTTAAAAATATTTTTAAAAGATACAGAGTGTCCCAAATAAATAAAAAATATCAAAGTTGTATTTTTTTAAATGGAACACCCTGTATATTATTGCATTTTTAGTTTCTACGATTAAAATAAAGGTAAATTTGATTAAGGGTTATTACACTTAAACCTTACCGTTTTTGAAATATTTTCAATTTTGTAAAATTGCAGTATAAATTTTAAGGCTTCATTTCTCCGAGGCTATCGAAGTATTTATTACTAAATATTTACTGAAGTTTATTTATTGATCAGTTATTGTGTTGCAATAATAAAAATTATACTACCTTATACAGAGTGTCTAAAAATTTGTTTTAAATAATTACTAGCTTTAAACGGCAATAACTTGTTTAATTTAAATGGAATACCCTGTATATTTTATGAGAATCAGATGTACAATTTAATTGTCTATCAAACTGTATTATACCACTTTTTATCCATCTCTTCAAGTTTCATTCAACTTCAAGTTCATTTTCTTATAATTTAGACCTCATTTATCAATATATCCATGGAATATTGACATTTTAGATTGTTTTTAAAACAACAAATGTACAAAATGTACAGGCTAGTAATATTATCGTTTTTAGTGAAACGATGATATTACTAGCCGATTTGTATGCAAAAAGAAAACTATTTAAATCTTTATAAAAGAGTATACCATTAATTAAATATATCACCAGTATTTCCGCCCAAATACTAATTAATTACATACTTTATTGTGTTCGTTAATAAATTATTGTAAATAAATGTGGATTTGAATCAGAAATCAATATAATAATAAGTTATGAAAATGAACGTCTCTGTTGTTATTAATAGGCATTTGTCAAAAAATGAAATATCATTTTTAAGGTGTTAGTTTTTTTACTACACTGTCTAATACACATAAATAATTCAGTTTTTTAGTATTTGGAGCAATTACTATTAATCAGCGCAAACAGTCAATAATTAATGTAGTTTGAATACTGGAATCATATTAATTGATCCTCTTTAACAAATACTAAAACAGTTTTTTTATTTTTTTAATGAAATAAACAAACTATATTGACAATATTAGTATCTGTACTCTTTAAAAATTTGGTACATCTTTAAAAATAATCTAAAATGTCAGTATTCCATGGGTATATTGATAAATGAGTTCTAAATTACAAGAAAATGCATTTTCTACGGAAGCTTGAAGAGATAGGTAAAAAATGGTATAATACAATTTGATAGACAATTAAATTGTGCATCTGATTCTCATAAAATATACAGGGTGTTCCATTTAAATTAAACAAGTTATTGCCATTTAAAGCTAATAATTATTTAAAATAAATATTTAGACACTCTGTATAAGGTAGTAAAATTTTTATTATTGCAACACAATAACTGATCAATAAATAAACTTCAGTAAATATTTAGTATTAAAAACTTTGATACCCTCGGAGAAATGAAGCCTTAAAATTTATACTGCAATTTTACAAAATTGAAAATATTTCAAAAACGGTAAGGTTTAAGTATAATAAACCTTAATCAAATTTACCTTTATTTTAATCATAGAAACTAAAAATGCAATAATATACAGGGTGTTCCATTTAAAAAATGCAACTTTGATATTTTTTATTTATTTGGGACACTCTGTATCTTGTAAAAATATTTTTAAATTGTAGCTCTAATAGTCCTTCAACGAACCCAAAACTTACAATTTGTAAAAATCTAATCGTTTAGCTACAATATTCCGTGTCGTATGTGGTGAACAACCCTGTATAAGGACATGTATGAAATACCTATGAAACATTGGAAACCGACGCACAGTAGTTCCCTCCCTTATAAAAATTTGGCCAAAACTCAATATATCGAAAAAAATTATTTTGATCATATATGATCAAATATTTTATAATATATATTTAAAAACATGAAAGGTTTGTTATAAAAATATATTTTGGAAAATCATGCACTTTAGAGCACTTATGTGATAACATTTTATATGCAATAGTCTAAAAAAGCATATATAACTGTTTTTGTATCGACAATGAATAAATTACTCATTTAGTGTTTTCAAAATAATATTAAATAGTGCATTTTATAATTAGACCATACTGCACGTATACTTTCCTCATATAATATCAGTTTTTGACAGATAAAATGAAAAAAAATAGTACTAACCATTTGAAAATATCAAAATTATATTGTACCTGTGAAATATATTTTATATACATAACTAAATCAAGAATATCGCAGCTGAACTAAGTGATTGTTTTAACTTAAATGAAACTTCATAATGTCTTTTTGAGAACCATGTCAAATTAGCTGCTAATATCTGCTATTCAGCATAAATTGTCTTGTAAACAAACGTCTTATATAAATGTTGCATGGTTTATAAATGTGCATTTAAAAAATTGAAATAGAGCATTTTAAATATTTCATTGTTAGCCACGCCATAAAAATGACCGGTATAAGATAATGTGAGTTTTTTCTTCACAAATTTATTCTATTTTCTTTGGTGTTAAGAAAATATTGGTAAAGTTACAGGGTATTAACATAGTATAGCATTAGATATTAACAAATATAAATTAACCTCAGATTTTAACCAATTTTCGGATATACCTACTATTATTAACGAAAATTTTAATAAATAAGAAATAGCATGGCAACACCGCATAGTTTTTCAAATAAAAATAGTGTCCTATATGCACAATTTTATGCTGAATCAAATTATGTACAGAAAAAAGGGAGTTATGATTTAAAAAAGCCCATGACTTTATCATTACTTTGGGACACCCTTTATACAACAAAATATTTTTAGTATATGCACCTTAATAAAACATGCAAATATTTATATAATACTTTTTTCATATTTTCGTCTACGCAACGACAATATTGAACTTTCTCACACTTATGGGCCACCCTGTATCTTTATTAGCTTATCAACGATTTACCGCATATCTTCTAACCATTGTTCATTCTGTTTGTTGTTTTTTAATTTTTGCTAAATACCTTTATAAAGTAATACTTATTAATATTGGTAAATACATTGCGCTTTTAAATTCTAATGAACCATCGTTACTTTACCTGTATAATTATACGACGTCTAACGATAAAGAACTTTTTTTATATGTTTGGCAACTCCAAACGCCTAAATATTTATAGATTTACTAAAAAATATTAACTGATACATTAATTTTCCCCGATATAATAATATACAGGTTTTGGCCCCGTACGTCTATAAGAGCGAACCAGTGTGCGACGTTATGCCACGATCCACGGTGGTTTTTGCAGTTCACAATACACAACACAGTTTTTTCAGTTTTTAATGCTATTTTTTCACAATTATCACGGATTTTAGTAAATAAAATTTAAATTAAACTCACAAGATAGCAATAATTGCTTTGAAAATGGACGCTTTAAACACTTTTCGGTATTTTTTCAATGAGGGCGGTTAAAATTTTAAAATATTTTATAATTTTTGAAGATGCTGACTTTGACAAGAGAAAATTATTCTTTTTTTGTTTGCGGTTGTTCTTAGCAACCGCTATAGTAGCGCCAGATCGCGTACAACGGTCGCGACCCAAAACAATTATATATTTTGACAAGCATTCCAATCTAAATTTATTTCCTTTATCTATGATGGTATCTTACTTTGCAACTTCGTTTAGAACTTCTTTTTCTAATTTCGAATCGTTTTCTTTTATTATCGGAATTATTTTGACATTCTTCTCTTCAATTTGCTCGCTGTCTTTGTTTTTGGGGACGAACGATTGAGGGGTGATCCCGTACTTTTTCTCGATCAATTCTAGAGCTTGCAATTGCAGCTCCACATTTTTCTGCGTCATCATCCGAACGAACATGTCGTAGTCGTTGGCCGCCCAGATTTGTTCAAAAATGTTCTAAAATGGGGACCTTTTAAATCTTAAAAAATAAAATTTGACTTATACATAATATGTCACTATTTTAATAAAAGTTAAATTATAGCAAAGAATAAAGTATTTTTAAAACGCTTTACTTTTAACATTGGATGCACAATAAAATTGAAACCAATTGACGGATATTTGGACAGACAATTTGGAGTGACGGATCTATTCATGGACAGATATTGAGTGCGTTCCACTAAGCGCTCATAATGCTCAAAATATGCCTTCGGTCGTTCCACATGACGATCGTGGACGTTGTGGTCGCGGCGAAAACGTCACTATTGACGTCATTATTTTCGCTCATGCCGAGCTCACAAGGACCCATCTGAATATTAGGATCGAAGTGGACGTTGAGGAATTTTGGCGCAATTTTTTAAAGTTTTCGCTTTTTACGATCGCGATTTTGTAAAATTGCATTCCACTATTCGTCTGAACTAAATGAAGAAGTTTTAGACACATTCCGATATACCAAATAAGCAAATATCCAATTGTCGCCAAAGATATTTTGATTTCTTTTTTTTTGAGACAGATTTTTTGAATTCTCTTCTGTTATTTTGACTATTATTTACTATTTACATCTTATTTACATACATTGACAGGATTGACGCTTAAAACGCCCCATAACCCATTCCACTTGAGTTTATGATTGTAACGCTCGCAAGCAAGTGGAACGGGAAAAATCGCGACCTTGAGCATGAACGTTATGAGTGCTCAGTGGAACGTACTCGTTTTATACAAAAATCGGATTTAAATAATGGACTGTCCGTGACATAATGACGGACCTCTGGTCATTATAAATTTGAGGTATCTTGAGCTGAGTTTTTTTTTATTTTTTAGACTGGCATTTGTTAGTGTATTGATTGGCATATTCCAATGAATAAAGAAATTGTGTATTGTGCAGTGATTGGATCTACCGGTACCTACATTATCAAATGACAAGTGATATTTTTTTCCTTCATGACAGGCGGCATGGAACTGTTCTGACGTAATACCAATATCATCCATGAAGTTACCCAACATAAAATCCACCTGAAAAATGAAATAAAATACTATCAATATACAGGGTAATCGAATATTCCGTGGATATAGCCCCTCTATATGTATTTTCGGAATGCATATAAGTCAATTGCGCAAAAAACGGCGTCCAGTTGGCTTGGAAATGAACATCGATGACATTCATCATATCGTATGATGTGTCAGCGTGTACCAGATGACGTCAGCGTGTACCAGCGACTTCGTTCGCGTCGAATTAATCATTTGTAATGGTGATGATAAAGTAAAGCAAGAATTTCCATTAACATACAAACTGGATAAAAATTACGATATTATTATATAACTTGCTAATATTTGAGGGGTAGTTTCATCTCGTTGGAATTTGACTTTCGAAAAATCCGTTTGCCAAAAATAAGCTTTTTACGTCAAGCAGTTTAAGCAGAATCGTGGTTAAGAAATAACCCAACTTTTTGGAACACCCTGTATGATTTTTTAAAAAATTTCAAAATATGTAAAGAAACCAAATAAATTATGCTTGTCCAAGCATTTTCCCGAAAGACTAACCGTTTTTTAAATAACAAATATTGTAATATTTGTGGGGTGTTTTCACCCTCTTGGAATTTGAGATTCGAGAAACCCCTCCTTATCGAACCTCTACACCCCACAGTCAATCCGTTTACCAAAAATCAGCTTTAAACGTCAAGCAGTTTAAGCAGAATCGTGATTGCTCAATGGTCATATTTTATGAAACACCCTGTATAAATTTATAAAAAATCTTAAAATATGTAAAACAACAAAATAAAATATACGTGTTTAAGAGTTTTTCCGGAAAACTCACCGGTTTTTAAATGAAAAATATTTTAATATTTGAGGGATAGTTTCACCCCCTTAGAATTCGAGTTTCGAGAAACCCCTTCTTATCGAACCTCTACACCCTAAAGTCAATCTGTTTTCCAAATATCAGCTTTTTACGTCAAGCGCTTTAAGCAGGATCGTGATTAATCAGTGACCAGATTTTTCGAAACGCCCTGTATATATTTTTAAAAAATCTTAAAATATGTAAACAAACAAAATAAAATATACGTGTTTAAGCGTTTTTTCGGAAACTTGACCGTTTTATTAAATAAAAAATATTGTAATATTTGAGGGGTGGTTTCACCCTCTTGGAACTGGAATTTCGAAAAATCCCTTCTTATCGAACCTCTACACCCTAGAATCAACCTGTATGCCAAAATTAAGCTTCTTACGTTGAGTGGTTTGAGCAGGATCGTGATTAATCAGTATGTCAGCCACTTAAGGAGTTTATAATTAGTATAGATTTATTTGGGAAATGTCTTCGATCGTCATTTTCCAGCCAACTGGACGCCGCTTCTTTTTCGATCATATATGGTATAATTTTACATATACATCAGCAATCAATTTCTAACGGACAAACTAAGCACTTTTCTATGTCCACCGAATATTGGGACACCCTGTATATTTACCAGATTTTTGAACTCCTCAAATATCATATTATAATCGTCGTTATGGGTCACATCCGGTTCAAAAACTACAATTCAGAAATTTTACTCATAATTTCTGAAGAGAAATCTTAACAAAATGTAAATACTTATCGATTTTTCTTCGACAAAGCTTTGCAGGGGAGCATTCCAAATTGGTCCATTCAAAAAACAAACCAATGAGTCGAAAACCCAGGAATTATCATCTTCGGCCATGTTTTTTTACGTGAAATTTACTTTTTGTAATATAACAAAATATCAAGTTGCTTACAAATATCAAAACAGAGTTAACTTGATATGTTTGTATTTTTCCAAGAGGGTTGTCATGGAAAATATCGAACTTATTATGGTTTTTCTTCTCCATTTTATCGATCTTTAATGCAAAGATAGCAAAAATTCTATTAATAAAAAGGTTCCAATACTTTATATAATTTAATTTTTATAAATCAGATTATTTCGATTTTTTTAATATTTATAAATAAAGATATTTAGTAATTATTTACATTCTGTATTTTTTATAAGAGCAGTACTATGCTGAATCGCTGAATCATGTTTTTTTGTTGTTATCTAAAACAGCAGGATGTTAATTAAATTTTTATTTAATTTATTGCACATTTTTTTGTAATCAGCGATAAGGAATTGATTTTGCAACACCGTGACTATCTCTGACAAATAATATGACAACACTGTGAATATATTTTTCCAACTCAGCAGTGACAGTTGAGGTTAGTTTTGTGATTTTTTCGTCTCTGTTATCATGTTTTAATAGTTTTCTCAATTAAAACAAGAAAAGGACAAGGAATAGAAACAGTTACAGCTTAAAAATGGGTCTACGAGGGATTATTAAATTCATTTTTCGAAGATCTTTTGAGATCCTCGTTATAGGGGTCTTGTTAGCTCTTCTTCCTAATCTACCACCTTATGCAAAAGTGACCAAACCATTTAGGTACGTAATTATTTAGTTTTTATAAACTTGCTATGTTTTTTAATTTAAATTTCTGAATTTTACGAAGGCTATTCAAGTTTTATCGCCTTCTTTTATGACGCGTTTAATATAATGCCTTAAAACAGTTATTTAAGCTGCATAGATTATTTTTTATTAGATTATATATATTTATACTGTTCTAATCCTAGTGTGACACCAGCAAAACCGTTTACCGGTAAATTAGCTTTAAACAATCGCCTAAAAGACGTGGAAGTATGGCACAAAGGAGATTTTCACGGACCAGAATGTTTTGCCGATTACAATGGTGAATTATACACCGGAATACTACTGGGCGATGTAGTTAAACTAACAGGGGAACATATAACACCGGTAGTAAAATTCGGTAAGCCCTGCAAAAGTATTCATGAAGAGTCGAAGTGTGGAAGACCTTTGGGCTTAGAGTTTGATAACAATGGCAATTTATTTGTTGCCGATGCTTACTATGGATTGTTTCAGGTTAATATTAAAACCGGTTAGTATAAAATACAGTTGTTTATGTTTCTTTATTAAAATCTTATGAATTTAAGGTGAAAAGAAGGTTTTGGTTGACCCAGAAACTGAAATAAATGGTAAAAAACCTAGATTGTTCAATTCTATTGTTCTCGCGAGTAATGGCGATATATATTGGACTGATTCAAGTACTGATTTTGGTTTGGAGGATGGGATTTTTACTGTACTGAGCGATCCAAGTGGAAGGTAATAATTATTATCTAAATAATTAATTATATTATTAAAAAACGTAGTATTATTAACAGTATATGTTTGGTATTGTGAAGAAAATGTCTTCAAGTTGATATTTGCCTTATAATTTTGATTTTCATATAAAAGCAATGCAGTTCTTTTTCAATCGTATTAACCAGACAAAATAAGAGGTGACCTTCAGACTGCTCTAAACTATCTTACTTAGTGACTGGGATTTATTCAAGAGTATGAATGTTTATTTTAAATTATCTCGTATAAATATAAAATATTTTTATCTGGTATTAATATGCACGTTGAATTAAGTGTTTTTTAGCTGGAATTATTGTGCTATAATTATTTTAATATTTATTTGATTCAATAGTACTTGTGTTTCAAGAAGGCATGTGAATTTTTGTTATAATATACCGGGTGTTTTTTGAAAAGTGGCTTACCTCTATAACTTATTTACTTTTTCAAATAAGAATGACATAGATTGGTATTGATTGACGTATTCAATTAGTCTCGGTCACCTTCCTGTTTCAAAGGAAACAGCTATAATACAACTTATGATTTTTAAATGGCACCCTCGGTAGTTTTTTACTTTATTTGATAGAAAATGACATGTTCAATGGAATAACTTATTATATGTCAACTTTTGACATTTTCAATAAAGAAAAAATAGTGTTTTAATTATCAATGAGTGGTCAAATTGTCGTTACATTTATTGTCATGGCACTCTTGATTGGAATTTAAAATACTATTTTATTTTAAGCAAAAATGTCAAAAGTTTACATTAAAATACCGTAGGTACCATTTCAAAATCAAAAGTTGTAGTCATTTCCGTGGAAACAGGAAGTGAACGAAACTAATTGAATACGTCAATTAATCCTTATTTATGTCATACTAGTTGAAGCCTGGCGCATCCGCCACGACATCAGGAAAAAAATACTTTTTATTTTTTTTTAATTAAATGAAAAACAAAAAATCCGGCGACGACAGTTTTTAGAAGGGCCAGCTAGCTATCTTTTAGTAAAAAAAGCAACTTTTTAGAGCAAGTCGTTACTTCAGTAGAGACGACACACATAAACATTAGCATTTTATATACCCGGGTGCGTCTCAAAAGTGGCTCAATCCTATAACTTTTTTATTTTTTCAGATAAAACAACGAGATTTGGTATTTTAGTATATGACATAAATTGGGATTGATTGACGTATTCAATTGTTTTCGGTCACTTCCGGTTTCACCGGAAATGACTACAACTTTTGATTTTTAAATGGCACCCTCGGTACTTTTTTCTATAGAAAATGACACTCTGAATCGAATGACATATAATATGTCGACTTTTGATATTTTGGCATATGGTTTATTTGAAATTGTAACATGCGGTTCATAACAACAATTTGACTCAAAATAACAAGTGTGTGGTATCAAATTATTCGTAAAAAAAATGCTTTTTTCAGATAAAACAACGAGATTTGGTATGTTAGTATATGACATAAATTGGGATTGATTGACGTATTCAATTGTTTTCGGTCACTTCCGGTTTCACCGGAAATGACTACAACTTTTGATTTTTAAATGGCACCTTTTCCAAGGCTCCTTGATTAAAAATTAATGTTTTTAACACAGCCATGGCACTCTAGATTAAAATTTAAAATAGAATTCGTTTTTGAGTGACTATGTCAATGTAAATTGACATATGATATGTCATTCGATTTCCGGTGAAACCGGAAGTGACCGAAAACAATTGAATACGTCAATCAATCCCAATTTATGTCATATACTAACATACCAAATCTCGTTTTATCTGAAAAAATAAAAAAGTTATAGGGGTGAGCCACGTTTGAGACGCACCCGGTATTTATGTACCTAGATATTAACATTTTTACCTGGAAAAAAAGCTATAGGGGTGAGCCACTTTTGAAAAACACCCGGTATAAACAGTACACTATGATTCATATAATTATCTTTTTTTTCAATTTTTTTTTTCTTTTACCACATCATCAACAAGATTAAAGTCTCAAGTTAATTATAACTCCATAATTAATAGTGATAAAATAAATGATATCCACTTATTATTTATATTGTTTGGTGATTTGGACAATGACCCCATAGTACGATGATACAGCATGTGATAAAAAAACCTTGCTAACAAATTAAAAATTAAGTATTTTTTTTTCAAGTACATATTTTTATCATTTAATAAATAATTATTTTAAATTACACTTATTTAATGTTTAACTATGACTTTCTAGAAGGATCAACACCTCCGTCTACCATGCATGAATACATAGATAGCATTATACTCCTTTCTTAATTTTTTTATTCAAAAGCTGATACATTTCCAGCAATTCTTGTCTCACTAATAAAATAAGAAGACCGCCAAATATGAATGACCAGGCGCTATATTGATTATTTTTTATATAATATAGATTGATCCATTACGATGCTAAAACGAAAAGAAACACAGTTCTTGTAGATGGCATCCATTTTGCCAATGGAGTAGCTCTAAGTGACGATGAAGAATTTGTTATTGCAGCTGAAACGGTCCAAAATAGAATACATAGATATTATTTGAAAGGTCCTAAGAAAGGTAAATGTACATTTATTTATTAAAAAATGTCTATATCTGGTGGATTCATCTTTCCAAAAAATCCTATATGGGTATTTCGCCACTGCAAGAAAATCTACAAAATAAAATAGTTATTTTTTGTAAACACTGTCACAAATTTCCTATAACAGATGCGAAAGAAGCGACTGCATCGGAAACCGCTCGGCAAACCCCACACGCCTATTGAGTGGTGTAAATACACCAGTCGTTTAGTTCGGAAACCTATGCTATGTCGTATTCGCTTGCTGGAATGACATAGTGCGTGGTTATATGTTTCTTTTTAAAAACGGGTGTAGGATTTTTGTTGAACTTTTGAACTGTTATTTCTAAGTTTTGGTAATTTGTATATCTTATTTAAAATGGGATACAAATGTGTTATAAGGAAAAAAAAGATATCTATAGTATAAAAAATTAATTTATTTAACAAAATTTAATTAAAAATGTGACAAAATAGTACCTTTCTATTGGTTCTATCGGACTTTTTTCGACTATATAAATCTATATTTGTAAACTTTAATACATCAAATATTTTCAATCTAATAAATCATTTAATGATGTAAATAAGAGGAAATTTCTCACATGGGTGGTCAAATTTATAGTTTTCATTATATCAAACAGCCTCTGAGAAATGTTTTCAACTCAAAATGCCTTTAATTATGTTTGACTACATCATTAAAAAGGGTCTTCAAATACATCAATGTGATATTTGTCTAAAATTTGCAAAAGAATCCGAATCTCTGGATAACTCGAAATTATTTACCCATTTAATAGCCTTTGATCATGAAAGTGGAAAAATTTGTTCATTTTATTTACAGGCTGGAAAAATTATTTATATTAAATTTTGATGAGTTTTGCACTGAAGAAAACATTCAGAGGCTGTTTGATATAATGGAAACTATAGAATTTGACCAACCATGTGAGAAATTTCCTCTTATTTACATCATTAAATTATTTATTAGATTGAAAATATTTTATGCATTAAAGTTTACAAATAAAGATTTATATAGTCGAAAAAAGTCCGATAGAGGCAATAGAAAAGTAACAATTTTGTCAAAACTTTAATTAAATTTTGTTAAATAAATTAATTTTTTATACTATAAATATCTTTTTTTTCCTAATCTCCTACGAACTGATATAATATGACGAGTAATCTATTAAATTACTGTGAGATTATATGCCTCGATAACATATTGGTGCAGATTATTTTCACCCAAACAAATAATAACCCAAACTAGTATACATTGATGCGGATTGTCTATGAACTCTTTCTGAAGGTCACAGAAACCTGAACGCGTAAAGCCGGAGTCTCATGCATCCGAAACTATCCTAAAAACGGCGTATTCTGGCGTAAGCGGGTGTAATGACCTTTGAATGGATTTCCAAGTAATTCTATTGGCTGGAAACATTCATCTGTCAGAAATTTTTTTCTGTCAAAATTCATCTGTCAAAAATTACTGAAATCGATTCAAGGTCGTTACGCCGTTACGCCGTGATACGCCGTTTTAGGATAGTGTGCACCTCATGCATCCGAAATCCGATGATACGACGATCCGACGGTGCTCCTATTAGTCGAAATATTTTGACACCAATTTTTATCCGATATTTTTAACTAATCGTCCGACGTCGTATAAAGTTAAATTTTGTTTAACTTTTGTACGATATCGTGTGTTTTTTAACCTCACTTTTTTTGAAAACATTGGTTTTTAAAATCAAGTTTAGTGGGAAGTGGGCAATTTCGGGATATTTGGCGAGGAAGTTATTTTTATAATGTGTTTCTATAAGTGTTTCTCCAATAATTCATGGAATAATACATAATAATAATACATAGTAATTACAGGTCGAAATGTCAAAACTGTCAAATTTCGGAACGAACTTTCGGATGTATGTGACAGGCTTTTTTTTATTTCACACGATAACTTCAAATTTCGGATGTCGTACCATCGGATTTCGGATGCATGAGACTCCCGCTTAATTCGGTGTTCTTTCGCATCTGTTGTAGTTAATTTGTGACACTGTCAGCAGTTCGGTTTACAGATATACAAATTTGCCTAAGGAACAAAAACATGCTTAACGTTTCGGAAAGTTTTTCTCTTTCCGTCGATTTCTCTTTTTGATTTACTTCATCTGTGTGGTTTGTATTTTAAATCATGCGACATGATCGGTTGACAGACAGAGAGATAAAATAAAAAGCGCCACACAGTGTTGCCGGTTTTTCCCTGTGAAGGAGAAAGTGTGTAGAAAAAAATAAACTATGTATTTTAAAAACTTGTCTATTCAACTTCTATCTCTTTTTAATACATTTGATCTGTCTACATCACTGCCTTACACATTAAAATCCAGACCACGCTTTTGTGATGACCCGATTGGTATATACTATCGAAAAGAAATCGGCGTCATAGTTGACGCTTGTCAAAAATCATTCATTTTCTAACCAATTTTGTCTCCGTTTCTTTTACTATACATATAGGACTATCTGTACTAAACTGTTTGTACTGAACGTTTGATACATAATTTACATATCGATTTATCGGGAATCAAATTTTGCCGATATTTATCGATAATTTTCTCAACATCGATATTTTAGTACATCTCTAACCAATGTTTAATTTTAAGATCTATGTTTTGGAGACGATTTTTTCAGAATATTTCTCAATTTTCTTTAAGGTACTCATGATATATTCATTGATGGACTTCCCGGTCTTCCTGACAACCTTAAAGCTGACGGGAAAGGTGGATTTTTCGTACCGTTGGTTATGTCAACAGACGAAGACCATCCCATACTATTCCAATCCATAGGTCCATTTCCTTTGCTTAGGAAAGCTGCTCTTAGGTTTATGGGTATCGTCGAATTTTTATTTAAAAAGTTAAACGAAGTCTACCCCAATGAATTTTTCGAAAAGACAGCTCATTACGTAAGTATTCTTAAGCTACGCATCCGAGTTATCCATCAGCTCAGCACATATAGAAAATTCCATGTAAATTTGTGAGCCATAAAGGCATCTTTGATACATTTTGACTGAACCGGAAAGTTGTAACATAAACAATACGTATGGGGGCTTTATTACTTATTAAAAGCTTCGGATTTCTAAATTTAATTGTGTTTTATAGTTGGGAAGTTTTGCATCGGGTCACGCATTGTTGCCAAATCACCAGGTAACTCTACTGAGGGTCGATAGGAGCGGCAACATCGTCGACAGTCTGCATCATCTCGACAGCAAATTAAAGGAATATCGGAAATGCACATTTTCCGCGATACTTTATATTTAGGATCACCTTTCAACGACTATATTGCTAGGATTCCACTCGATACCATTGGATGGAGTGACTTAAAGGTAAATTTCTAGCTAGATCTAATGTACTTTGTAGAGATGTCCAGAGAAGGATAATGTGATAAATACCTACAGGGTGGCCCATTAGTGTGAGGAAGTCCATGTAAAAAAACCCTGTATAATATAATGTGAGTTTTTTTACGGATTTATTCTGTTATTCTTGGTGTTTAGAAAAATATAGATAGGTTTTTACCACTTTTCCTATATACTGTTTTTAATCAAAGTTTTAGTAAATAAAAGATAGCATGGCAATAACGTAAAATTCTAAATTCAGTTGTGTACAGAAAAATGGGGGGTTACAATTTAAAAAAAATACAATTTTATCATTACTTTTTTTGGCACAACCTGTATTTTAGGATATGCATCTTTATAATCCATGTAACAGTTGTGTAAAACTTTTTTTCATATCTTCATTATCAAGGACGATATTGGACTTTCTCACACTAATGGGACACACTGTATTTGTTCTCATTTTCGTTCTAAATGTTCTCATAATTCTAATTTTTCGCATAATAAGAAGAAAAAATGATAAAAATCAGAATAAAATAAAATAAAAACCAGATTGATTTTCCAATCCTATTTTCTTTGCACTAGTAAAAAAATTTTCTCTCCTTCTCCAAACATAAATTCTCTAGAAATTTACAATATTAGGAGTAATACATACAGTTGTCTAATTTTTATCTTATTTTTTTTATTTATTTAGGTTGATCGCGTTAAACGTTCTGCACCTACAACGCCTAAACCTGTAACAACTACTACACAAAGACCTACAACGACTACACCAAAACCTACTACAACTACACAAAAACCAACTACGACAACCCCTAGACCAACTACGACTACGCAAAGAGCAACGACTACTACTACGACGACTACACCAAAACCGACAACTACTACCGCAAAACCCACTACAACTACACAAAGACCGACTACGACAACGCCTAAACCTACCGCTGCCCCTGCAAAATCGACCAATCAAAAACAGGTACCGCCCACCGCCGCTAAACAGGAGGCGCCACAAGCGAGGCAGGCTCCTCCTCCACAGGCCAAACCAACTGTAGCACCTGTCAAACAACAACCTCCCGCATCTCAGGTAATTATTTAAGACCTATTATATTAACTTAGGTTTTATAAATCTCTCTTTTTGTCGTTGTTTTAACATATCCTAGTAAGACAGTGATGTAGTCTATGCGGAATTCTTGGATTAATTATTAAAATTTCAGACCGTACAAGTAAACGTTTACGAAAAATGTTACCTCTAGGGTTGGAACTTTATTTTTCACAATTAGTTACTCATTTTACTACAGTTGTAATAAATTATATTTAGCTTAGGCTAAGAGCTTAGTGAAGCGACGAGGATAGCGGAGAGCCAGTAGCATGACATTGCGTCCAAAACAAACCTGTCGAAAAAAAAAAAAAAACTAAAGTTGTAGTCATTTCAAAAAGGAAACAGGAAGTGAACGAAACTAAATTGAATACGTCAACAACCTTATTTATGTCATACTAGTTGAAGCCTGGCGCATCCGCCACGACATCAGGAAAAAAAATACCTTTTTATTTTTTTTAATTAAATGAAAAACAAAAAATCCGGTTACGACACAGTTTTTAGAGCCAATTAGCTATCTTTAGTAAAAAAGCAACTCTCTAGAGCAAGTCGTTACTCAGTAGAGACGACACAGCTAAATATTTGACATACTTTATATACCGGGTGCGTCTCAAAAGTGGCTCAATCCTATAACTTTTTATTTTTTCAGATAAAACAACGAGATTTGGTATAAATTGGGATTGATTCACATAAATTGGGATTGATTGACGTATTCAATTGTGCTCGGTCACTTCCTGGCTTTCACCGGAAATGACTACAACTTTTGATTTTTAAATGGCACCCTCGCAATTTTTTTACTTAGAAATGACACTTGAATCGAATGGATATAATTATGTCGACTCCTTGATGATTTTTGGCATATGGCTTATTTGAAATTGTAACATGTGCTTCATAACAACAATTTGACTCAAAATAACAAGTGTGTGGTATCAAATTATTCGTAAAAAAAATGCTTTTTCCAAATATGCTAATGAGCTACCCTCGTTCCATTTGAAAAAATTGAGCTATGATTAAAAATACGATTTGGGCATCTTTTAACCGGCCAGGACAAAACACTAAACACATTAGACAATCAAATCTATTTTTCCAAGGCTCCTTGATTAAAAATTAATGTTTTTAACACAGCCATGGCACTCTAGATTGAAATTTAAAATAGAATTCGTTTTTGAGTGACTATGTCAATGTAAATTAACATATGATATGTCATTCGATTTCTGGTGAAACCGGAAGTGACCGAAAACAATTGAATACGTCAATCAATCCCAATGTATGTCATATACTAACATACCAAATCTCGTTTTATCTGAAAAAATAAAAAAGTTATAGGGGTGAGCCACTTTTGAGACGCACCCGGTATTTATGTACCTAGATATTAACATTTTTATCTGGAAAAAAAGCTATAGGGGTGAGCCACTTTTGAAAAACACCCGGTATAAACAGTACTCTATGATTCATATAATTATCTTTTTTTTCAATTTTTTTTTTCTTTTACCACATCATCAACAAGATTAAAGTCTCAAGTTAATTATAACGCCATAATTAATAGTGATAAAATAAATGATATCCACTTATTATTTATATTGTTTGGTGATTTGGACAATGACCCCGTAGTACAGTGATACAGCATGTGATAAAAAAACCTTGCTAACAAATTAAAAATTAAGTTTTTTTTTCAAGTACATATTTTTATCATTTAATAAATAATTATTTTAAATTACACTTATTTAATGTTTAACTATGACTTTCTAGAAGGATCAACACCTCCGTCTACCATGCATGAATACATAGATAGCATTATACTCCTTTCTTAATTTTTTTATTCAAATGCTGATACATTTCCAGCAATTCTTGTCTCACTCAATAAAATAAGAAGACCGCCAAATATGAATGACCAGGCGCTATATTGATTATTTTTTATATAATATAGATTGATCCATTACGATGCTAAAACGAAAAGAAACACAGTTCTTGTAGATGGCATCCATTTTGCCAATGGAGTAGCTCTTAGTGACGATGAAGAATTTGTTATTGCAGCTGAGACAGTTCAAAATAGAATACATAGATATTACTTGAAAGGTCCTAAGAAAGGTAAATGTACATTTATTTATTAAAAAATGTCTATACCCATGTGGCGGATTCATCTTTCCAAAAAATCCTATATGGGTATTTCGCCACTGCAAGAAAATCTACAAAATAAAATAGTTATTTTTTGTAAACACTGTCACAAATTACCTATAACAGATGCGAAAGAAAGCGACTGCATCGGAAACCGCTCGGCAAACCCCACACGCCTATTGAGTGGTGTAAATACACCAGTCGTTTAGTCCGGAAACCTATGCTGTGTCGTATTCGCTTGCTGGAATGATATAGTGCGTGGTTATATGTTTCTTTTTAAAAACGGGTGTAGGATTTTTGTTGAACTTTTGAACTGTTATTTCTAAGTTTTGGTATTTTGTATATCTTATTTAAAATGGGATACAAATGTGTTTATTTATAAGGAAAAAAAAGATATTTATAGTATAAAAAATTAATTTATTTAACAAAATTTAAGTAAAAATGTGACAAAATAGTACCTTTCGATTGGTTCTATCGGACTTTTTTCGACTATATAAATCTTTATTTGTAAACTTTAATACATCAAATATTTTCAATCTAATAAATCATTTAATGATGTAAATAAGAGGAAATTTCTCACATGGGTGGTCAAATTCTATAGTTTTCATTATATCAAACAGCCTCTGAGAAATGTTTTCAACACAAAATGTCTTTAATTATGTTTGACTACATCAATTAAAATGGTCTTCAAATACATCAATGTGATATTTGTCTAAAATTTGCAAAAGAATCCGAATCTCTGGATAACTCGAAATTATTTACCCATTTAAAAGGCTTTGATCATGAAAGTGGAAAAATTTGTTCATTTTATTTACTGGAAATGGAAAAATTATTTATATTAAATTTTGATGAGTTTTGCACTGAAGAAAACATTCAGAGGCTGTTTGATATAATGAAAACTATAGAATTTGACCACCCATGTGAGAAATTTCCTCCTATACATCATTAAATTATTTATTAGATTGAAAATATTTTATGCATTAAAGTTTACAAAAAATGAAGATTTATATAGTCGAAAAAAGTCCGATAGAACAATAGAAAAGTAACTATTTTGTCACATCTTTAATTAAATTTTGTTAAATAAATTAATTCTTTATACTATAAATATCTTTTTTTCCTAATCTCCTATGAACTAATATAATATGACGAGCAATCTATTAAATTACTGTGAGATTATATGCCTCGATTACATATTGGTGCAGATTATTTTCACCCAAACAAATAATAACCCAAACTATACATTGATGCGGATTGTCTATGAACTCTTTCTGAAGGTCACAGAAACCTGAACGCGTAAAGCCGGAGTCTCAGGGTGCAGCCACACTATCCTAAAAACGGCGTATCGGCGTAACGGGTGTAATGACCTTGAATGGATTTCCAGTAATTCTATTGGCTGAAACATTCATCTGTCAGAAATTTTTTCTGTCAAATTCATCTGTCAAAAATTTTAGCCAATAGAATTACTGGAAATCGATTCAAGGTCGTTACGCCGTTACGCCGATACGCCGTTTTTAGGATAGTGTGGCTGCACCCTCATGCATCCGAAATCCGATGACACGACGATCCGACGGTGCTCCTATTGGTCGAAATATTTTGACACCAATTTTTATCCGATATTTTTAACTAATCGTCCGACGTCGTATAAAGTTAAATTTTGTTTAACTTTTTATTTTATTATCTATATTTTTTTAACCTCACTTTTTTTGAAAATATTGGTTTTTAAAATCAAGTTTAGTGGGAAGTGGGCAATTTCGGGATATTTGGCGAGGAAGTTATTTTTATAAGTGTTTCTCCAATAATTCATGGAATACTACATAATAATAATACATAGTAATTACAGGTCTAAATGTCAAAACTGTCAAATTTCGGAACGAACTTTCGGATGTATGTGACAGGCTTTTTTTTATTTCACACGATAACTTCAAATTTCGGATGTCGTACCATCGGATTTCGGATGCATGAGACTCCGGCTTAATTCGGTGTTCTTACGCATCTGTTGTAGTTAATTTGTGACACTGTCAGCAGTTAGGTTTACAGATATACAAATTTGCCTAAGGAACAAAAACATGCTTAACGTTTCGGAAAGTTTTTCTCTTTCCGTCGATTTCTCTTTTTGATTTACATCATCTGTGTGGTTTGTATTTTAAATCATGCGACATGATCGGTTGACAGACAGAGAGATAAAATAAAAAGCGCCACACATTGTTGCCGGTTTTTCCCTGTGAAGGAGAAAGTGTGTAGAAAAAAATAAACTATGTATTTTAAAAACTTGTCTATTCAACTTCTAACTCTTTTTAATACATTTGATCTGTCTACATCACTGCCTTACACATTAAAATCCAGACCACGCTTTTGTGATGACCCGATTGGTATATACTATCGAAAAGAAATCGGCGTCATAGTTGACGCTTGTCAAAAATCATTCATTTTCTAACCAATTTTGTCTCCGTTTTTTTTACTATACATATAGGACTATCTGTACTAAACTGTTTGTACTAAACGTTTGATACTTAAATTTACATATCGATTTATCGGGAATAAAAATATTGCCGATATTTATCGATAATTTTCTCAACATCGATATTTTAGTACATCTCTAACCAATGTTTAATTTTAAGATCTATGTTTTGGAGACGATTTTTTCAGAATATTTCTCAATTTTCTTTAAGGTACTCATGATATATTCATTGATGGACTTCCCGGTCTTCCTGACAACCTTAAAGCTGACGGGAAAGGTGGATTTTTCGTACCGTTGGTTATGTCAACAGACGAAGACCATCCCATACTATTCCAATCCATAGGTCCATTTCCTTTGCTTAGGAAAGCTGCTCTTAGGTTTATGGGTATCGTCGAATTTTTATTTAAAAAGTTAAACGAAGTCTACCCCAATGAATTTTCCGAAAAGACAGCTCACTACGTAAGTATTCTTAAGCTACGTACCGAGTTATCCATCAGCTCAGCACATATAGAAAATTCCATGTAAATTTGTGAGCCATAAAGGCATCTTTGATACATTTTGACTGAACCGGAAAGTTGTAACATAAACAATACGTGTATACGGGGCTTTATTACTTATTAAAATCTTCGGATTTCTAAATTTAATTGTGTTTTATAGTTGGGAAGTTTTGCATCGGGTCACGCATTGTTGCCAAATCACCGGGTAACTCTACTGAGGGTCGATAGGAGCGGCAACATCGTCGACAGTCTGCATCATCTCGACAGCAAAATTAAAGGAATATCGGAAATGCACATTTTCCGCGATACTTTATATTTAGGATCACCTTTCAACGACTATATTGCTAGGATTCCACTCGATACCATTGGATGGAGTGACTTAAAGGTAAATTTCTAGCTAGATCTAATGTACTTTGTAGAGATGTCCAGAGAAGGATAATGTGATAAATACCTACAGGGTGGCTCATTAGTGTGAGGAAGTCCATGTAAAAAAAACTTGTATAATATAATGTGAGTTTTTTTATGGATTTATTCTGTTATTCTTGGTGTTTAGAAAAATATAGATAGGTTTTTACCACTTTTCCTATATACTGTTTTTAATCAAAGTTTTAGTAAATAAAAGATAGCATGGCAATAACGTAAAATGCTAAATTCAGTTGTGTACACAAAATGGGGGGTTACAATTTAAAAAAAATACAATTTTATCATTACTTTTTTTGGGACAACCTGTATTTTAGGATATGCATCTTTATAATCCATGTAACAGTTGTGTAAAACTTTTTTTCATTTCTTCGTTATCAAGGACGATATTGGACTTTCTCACACTAATGGGACACACTGTATTTGTTCTCATTTTCGTTCTAAATGTTCTCATAATACTAATTTTTCGCATAATAAGAAGAAAAAATGATAAAAATCAGAATAAAATGAAATAAAAACCAGATTGATTTTCCAATCCTATTTTCTTTGCACTAGTAAAAAAATTCTTTCTCCTTTCTCCAAACATAAATTCTCTAGAAATTTACAATATTAGGAGTAATACATACAGTTGTCTAATTTTTATCTTATTTTTTTTATTTATTTAGGTCGATCGTGTTAAACGTTCTGCACCTACAACGCCTAAACCTGTAACAACTACTACACAAAGACCGACAACGACTACACCCAGACCTACAACGACTACACCAAAACCTACTACAACTACCCAAAAACCAACCACGACAACCCCTAGACCAACTACGACTACGCAAAGAGCAACAACTACTACGACTACATCAAAACCGACAACCACTACCGCAAAACCCACTACAACCACACAAAAACCGACTACGACAACGCCTAAACCTACCGCTGCCCCTGCAAAATCGATCAATCAAAAACAGGCACCGCCCACCGCCGCTAAACAGGAGGCACCACAAGCGAGGCAGGCTCCTCCTCCACAGGCCAAACCAACTGTAGCACCTGTCAAACAACAACCTCCCGCATCTCAGGTAATTATTTAAGACCTATTATATTAACTTAGTAGTATAGTTGTTTTAACACATCCTAGTAAGACAGTGATGTAGTCTATGCGGAATTCTTGGATTAATTATTAAAATTTCAAACCGTACAAGTAAACGTTTACGAAAAATGTTACCTCTAGGGTTGGAACTTTATTTTTCACAATTAGTTACTCATTTTACTACAGTTGTAATAAATTATATTTAGCTTAGGCTAAGAGCTTAGTGAAGCGACGAGGATAGCGGAGAGCCAGTAGCATGACATCGCGTCCAAAACAAACCTGTGAAGAACATAGTAAAACGATCTGCTCGAGCGGTTAGATCGAGCGGCAAGATCAATTCAAATAATTTTGTTTTCGTCGCTTTGTCGCGCTGTAGAAAACTATGGATTCCCAAACTCACAAACGGTCAATATTATTGCGCAATATTTCATATTGTGCAATAATATTGACCGTTTAGGGTTTACATTGAAAGGTTGCACAATATATTGTGTCAATCAAAAACAGTTTGATTTTTATTGTGCAATAGTAATTAGTTTGTATCGTGTGTGGATAATATTGCACAATAGTTCAGTATATTTTTGTTTTCTATGCGTGTCTGTCTTGCTGCTCGGCCCTATTTAGAATATTTAGATCAGTGGTTTGTCAGCAAATATGGGATCAAAAGCAAAAGAGGAAGAATGACGATTTATTTTAAAAGTCATCGAAATGTACCATTCTTTGCCAGCTTTATGGAATACAAAAAGCAAAAAATATGGCCTCTTTTCTTATACCAATCTTTCATTCATTTACTTTGACACTTTTGTTTCTTTGTTAAACAAGTGGCCAAAACAAGGGCAATAGCAGCTTGTTTTTTCTTATCCATGTTAACCAAAGTGCAAAACGAAACTAGTTATTGAACAAATTTATTGTACTGTTTGGGGATGACTAACAATATTATTGGGTAATATTATTGCGCAAACATATTGACCGTCTGTGGGCCCCTTTAAGAGAGATTTTATGGGACCAAAAAGATAGTAATCACCATAACCGGTACATTTAAGATAAGCTATGAGATGAAGTGGCAACAAATTTTCGTAAAGGTTATAAAAATTGACTCTCTCCGGTTTTTGAAAATTTCATGTACACTAGACCCAAGAACTGTAAACTAATAGGATTGCTCATCCTCATAAGACGTACGTTCGCTTCTTCCCGCGCTTTAGCTGACAGTTGTGACGTCATTGTAGTCCTTGTCATGATAGTGTGTATTATTAGTTGCCTATGGTAAACTTATAAAAAAAACCAAGAACTGTAAACTAATAGGATTGCTCATCCTCATAAGACGTACGTTCACTTCTTCCCGCGCTTCAGCTGACAGCTGTGACGTCATTGTAGTCCTTGTCATGATAGTGTGTATTATTAGTTGCCTATGGTAAACTTATAAAAATAACAGCTGAGAGATTTTGAGTTAATTATTTTGTCAATTTTAAATGTGAAAAGGGTGTCTTTAAAGTTTTCAGAGCTATAGAGTGTATAAATACGTTCATTTTGTGTTGTGGATTGTGACAAAGTGCTTACTAAGTGCCTACGATAGTGTTTATTAATTATTTTAGAGCATAATATGGAAGTACTCTAAAAAGAATGCTTGCAAAAGGTGATGCTGGGAACTGCTGTTCTTATAAATTCATTATCCGAGTATTTATTACGATTTATACAGTTAATTTTCTATACTGCATACATATAAGGTGTTTAAATAAATTAACTGAATAATGAACGTTTTGTATTCGGCAACCAATAATGCACGTGTGTGTATTATTGGTTGCCGGATAAGGACTAATAACCATGACAAGGACTACAATGACGTCACAAAGCGAGTAGTTTTCGCATGCACCTGGCGGACACTTTTGACTGAACGAGCAGTCCTATTAGGTTAACTGTTCTTGCACTAGACCTTCTGGTTTGTTGGTTTTAAATCAACCAAATGTTTGCGACACTACTGCCCAGAATTTTAGCCACTGTTAACATTTTAAATTATCAATAAGCAAATGAAAATAATAAATAAAATACCTTGCTATTCCTCGCCGCTCTACTATGTTTCAGCACCTCGAGGCTTGCTCGACGCGGTATCGCGCTGCTTGCTCGCCGCTATCCTCGTCGCTCCACTATGTTCTTAGCCTTGGATATATTATCTTCATTTCAGTAGTATACATGAAAGTTTTTAAAATTTTGGTTCTACTACATTTTCCTATACACGTAAAAATCGGCAACACTGTATGCCGGTTTTTATTTTGTCACTCTGTCTCTCAATCGGTTATTTATATTTATCTCTGTCGCATGCATTAAAATACAGACCACGCAGATGAACTGACCAGGATGGTATATCCATTACATAACTAATATAACAATATTTGTTTGTCTGTATTAATATGATTTCCGGGCTAAAATTTAAATTTATTTTCTTAAAAGAAAATGACATATGTACAGGGACATCATTTTAAGTGTCTCACTCGATTTATAATTTTCCTGTTTGGTATTTAAAGATAATAGAAAGATTTTCTAATGTAATTTTTCGCGAGGATGCCGATTCTCTACACCAAAATTTTTTAAAACGTCAATTTTGACAGATACAACGCCATCTTGATTTTTTTTAAATGGAAACCCCCACATATTTTAGCATGGTCCGGTAGACATATTTTAGCTAATTTCAAAAATATATAGTTTAGTATACTTTGCTCTTACCGTTTTCGATATACAGTGGATTTAAAAATGAATTGCTCCAGAATCATTTTAAGTGTCTCACCCAATTTAAAATTTTCCTCTTCTCTATTTTAAGATAGTAAAAAGATATTTCAATGTAATTTTTCGCGAGGATGCCGATTTTCTACATTAAAATTTTTTACAACGTCAATTTTGACAGATACGACGCCATCTTGATTTTTTTTAAATGGAAACCCCCACATATTTTAGCATGGTCCGGTAGACATATTTTAGCTAATTTCAAAAATATATAGTTTAGTATACTTTGCACTTACCGTTTTCGATATACAGTGCATTTAAAAATGAAATCTTTAGAATTATTTTAAGTGAGTCATCCAGTTTACAATTTTCGAATTTTAAAATTCTTAAATCTTAAATTAAATTATTATTATTAATTCTTTAATCTATAATTTTTAAATCCACTGTATATCGAAAACGGTAAGTGCAAAATATACTATATTTTTCTGAAATTAGCTAAAATATGTCTACCGGACTATGCTAAAATATGTGGAGGTTTCCATTTAAAAAAAATCATGATGGCGTCGTATCTGTCAAAATTGACGTAAAAAATTATAATGTAGAAAATCGGCATCCTCGCGAAAAATTACATTAAAATATCTTTTTACTATCTTAAAATAGAAAAGAGGAAAATTTTAAATTGGGTGAGACACTTAAAATGATTCTGGAACAATTCATTTTTAAATCCACTGTATATCGAAAACGGTAAGTGCAAAGTATACTAAACTATATATTTTTGAAATTAGCTAAAGTTTGTCTACCGGGCGGTGTTAAAATTTGATGGGGTTTCCATTTAAAAAAAATCAAGATGGCGTCGTATCTGTCAAAATTGACGTTGTAAAAAATTTTAATGTAGAAAATCGGCATCCTCGCGAAAAAATACATTGAAATATCTTTTTACTATCTTAAAATATTATATCTTAAAATATTATAAACTTATTATCACTTAAAATGATTCTGGAACAATTCATTTTTAAATCCACTGTATATCGAAAACCGTAAGTGCAAAGTATACTGAACTATATATTTTTGAAATTAGCTAAAATATGTCTACCGGACCATGCTAAAATATGTGGGGGTTTCCATTTAAAAAAAATCAAGATGGCGTCGTATCTGTCAAAATTGACGTTTTAAAAAATTTTGGTGTACAGAATCGGCATCCTTGCGAAAAATTGCATTAGGAAATCTTTCTACTATCTTTAAATACCAAACAGGAAAATTATAAATCGAGTGAGACACTTAAAATGATGTCCCTGTACACGCCAAAATCGACCAAGTCAGTGTCAAAGATAGAGGCAGTCAGATAATTGAATGTCTCTCATATGTTGAAGAATGAAGCGAATTTACTTATAAAAATTTTTTAACCAAGATTTACAATAATCTCGCTGTAATTCAAGCCCTGACACAATGTCCTTGCAGATTTATACAGTTTGCCTTTGTTACTATATTTCAATTACTTATTTTTAGACACCACCTGTCAAGGAGAAACCACAAACAGCTCAACAGGTGAAAAACTAGACTGCAACGTATGAATCTGTGATGATAACTTTTTGATAAGTTAACAGAAATTATCTTTATGATGCACATTTAATTAATACTTGTTTAAAAAATGTTCACACCATATATTCTATAAAATTTCAACTAATCATTCCCTTGCATGACGACAGATAAACATAAGTTCTTATGAGAAAAAACATTAGAATTTTTTAAATTGTCAAAGTCAAAGTCCATTTGATCATAAAATTTTAATCCTATGGTATAACTTTCTGTTTAAATACTAATCTGGTTTAAAAACTATACTTATTTTATAGTTATAGGTGTATTCCAACAATGTGTCATGTAAGTACTCTAAAAGCTAGTCTAGAATTACCTCGTACCATTTAATTTATGAGTTAATGCGGATTTTCATGCAGTTCTATAACCACTTCCCGATATGGAAAAATGCATCAAAATGCCTTAAATTTATTTTACGTTATGTTTTTATTGGTCGGTTCTTCCCTGGTGGAATATTATAAGTAATATAACATAAGGCGCTATAGCTAAGCTATAACGAATTAAGATTCGTTATAGCTTAGCTATAGCACAGATCATACAGATTATAAACTTTGTTTTTTCTTTATAGTTTTTCGTGGTTCCAATTTTCGGAATCGGGCACTAGTTAGGTTACTAGTTTGCGCACATAGCACGCCTTTTATGACCTCTAAAATTGTGCAGAGCGCCTGACCGGCACAGTTATTAGAGAGATATCGGAAAACCGAATAGCGTTATGCAGTATTTACGCGTACCTTATCATGGTTACCATATGCGCTAGTCAATTTTTAACGCAACACCCGCTAATAACGTTACCGCCTGACGTAATATGCGGATCAATTACACCAAGCGTTTAAAAATTGCTTAAATGGGCATGTGCGGGTACATTTGACAACCGGGGCCGGCCGGCGAGCGGCGAGATCTTTTATTTTAGGTTATGTTTGAATTGTTTTGAATTATTACTGTTTTATTAGGTAATTTGATATTTAAGTAGCTGGGATTAGTTTTAATTAAATAAATATGGCCTAAAATATGGATTCCACTTCTTTCAATATTAAAGAACCTATAAAGAGGCTTAGGTTTACAGCAGATCACGACTTAGCCCTTCTAAGAGAATTTGTTGCTTGTTGCCCTAAACCCACTGGCAGACGTTGAACAATGAAGCACTGGAAATAAGCACTTTAGCCCTTTAGTTTTAAAATACCTAGTAAACAAAACAATTTCAAAGTTTTAAATTCAATGTTAGGTTAAGTTTAAATAGCGTACGCGACGCGAACAGAATTCGTTCCGATCCGATAACTATAAATGAAGAGAGTTAATACTACCTCACGTAAAGGAAATAATACCTGGCCTTATTACCGTCCATGCACGCTATTCGGTTTAGCGATATCTCTCTATTACGCTGTTTATTGTTATTTTACGCGAGTTTATTTTTGCGAACAGGAAATTTTACTCGTTTGCACATCGTCATAAAAAACAATTTTCGTACCACGAATTAGGGATAAGATTTTTATCTGTATACATATAGTATACCTAATCTGTGGCTATAGAGCCTAGTTACAAAAGCAGCTTTGGCTCTATTGGTAAGGCGATCGCCTCCGGATCGAGATGTATTAGGTTCGAATCCTACAAATCTAGAATTTTTTTATTTTTTTCACAGGTGTCGACGTGTAGTGAAGGTAATAACAATCAAAACACACTGTAAGCGTGTTTTGATTGCGTTGGTTTCACTCTGGGGTTATTTTTTTTTGTTTAGATTTCGCGTGAAATACTGTAAGTAAACTTCTCTTTCGACTCGACCAATCACAGGTGCGTTTCCATCAAAAAACATTGTCAAACAAACATTCGCAAGTGTTTGCGAATGTTTGAAAACGTTTGTAAATGTTGGTTCGTTTCTATTTTTCTCTTTTTGAACAGGATAAAAATTCGCGAATTAACAGTGAGTTTGTGAACATTTGTCAACGATCCGGAATATTTGCACAAAATGGCTCCGCGAAAAACAGCTATTGTAAATGCCGCTTCTTTTATTATAATGTGTGTTTTGAAAGAAAAGGAGACTATGAAAAAAAAGAAAAGAAAACATAGGTTTTGGACGTCATACTTCTTGAAAACAGATGATAGAAGTGGCCTATTTAGGAATTTCTCTAGAATGTCACAAGAAGACTTTCAATACTTAATATCGTTAATCGGTCCTAAAATAGGTAAAAAAGATACTAATTACAGAGACTGTATTCCTGTGGAACTGAGATTGGCTATAACACTTCGGTTTTTAGCCACGGGAGGTTCATACAACAGCCTTATATATCTCTTTACAGTTTCGAAGCCACTTATATCAAGAATTATTCCAGAGGTGTGTGAAGCTATCATTGAAAGTTTAAAAAAACGACACAAAATGACACGTTCAAATTCAAATGTTTTAAAAAAAAGTTTCGTTTAAACCTGTTTCCACGAAACACGCAAACATCGCCAGTCGGTTTGCGACCGTTCGCGAACCGTTTGCAAACATTCTAAATAACATCTCCACGAATTTCGCGAACATTTGCAAACATTATGCGCGCTTGGTGGAAACGCACCTTTATAACCAGCTTTTATTTTAACTTTCTCCGTTGACGGACAGGGGGGCAAAAGTGGCGCGAAAACATTAAGACCAATCAGAGCGTCGTCAGATGATCATATCAACGGATGACTGGGGCATGAAAATCCGCCTTTAGAGTGTGAGTATAAAAATATAAGTAAGGAATATCATTTTTATGAAATTGCTTGCTTATGTATTTAATTTTGTTCACACATATTTTCCATAAACAAATATAAGTTTTTCCCAGTTTTTCAAGAATATTCCGTGTAATAACAAAAATATAGGTTATGTTGTTGTACAACCAACATATATACGGCTGGGGAATGATAATCGATGATAATTTTGGCGTGTTCAATCTCTAGGCATTATTTACTAAAAATTGACATAAATTTGTCAAAAATTCACACTAATTATAGAAAGATTAAAAAAAGGATAGAACGTCTCCAGACATAGATCTATTTCCAAAAAAATATTTTGTCTCGAATTTTAAACTAGGTACACCATTTAAAAATTATTATTTATATTTATATATTTAAAAAAGCTCAGGACTCATACGATCTAGAGTTCATGACTAAGAGGCTTTATCAAGAATACAACAAATGGGGACTTCAGGTTAGTCTAAAGAAGACCGAATACTTAGCTGTCAATTCCAACGCTTGTTTTGAAGTCTTCATTAATGATAACGTCCAGATTCAACAAGTAGACAAATTTAAATACCTGGGTGCTACTATCAATAACGAGGGTTTGGGCAAAGTAGAAATACAAACCCGAATTCAGAAGAGCAAACAAGTTATTGGACGTCTTAACAGCCTCTGGTGGGACCGAAACTTGTCTGCAACAACTAAAAAGAGACTTGGAAGAACATTGGTGGAGTCAGTTCTTTGCTATGGTTCAGAGCTATGGACTCTGAGTGCAGACGCGAAACGCAAAATCGAAGTTGTTGAAATGGACTACCTTAGAAGAAGCGCAGGTATATCAAGCCAATGGAAAAAAAGACAAACATCGAGGTCAGGCGTATCATGAATGCATCGGAGGAGACAGTACTGGATCGAATCGAAAAATCCAGCTTAAAATGGTTTGGACACGTTCTGCGTATGCCGGAGAACAGGTGGCCAAAAAGAGTTTTTCAATGGGCTCCCCAGGGCAGAAGAAAGAGAGGTAGACCTAGAAAATCCTGGAACGGAACGGTTACGGAAGCAATGGAAGCTTGTAACCTAGAAGCTGATGACGCTCTAAATCGAGATGTGTGGCGTAGGGTAACGGGAAGGCAGCAATAGGCTGTAGTTGGAAATGAGTATTAAATACTTAAACCAAATTCCGTTGCCTATGAATTGTTGATTAGGTTCAAAAGTTTTTCTCTTCTAACTAAATTTAATCGTTAGCATTTGCGTAAAAGTGTGTATTTTGGGTGGTATTCCACAAAATTTGCTGGCTATTGAGGAAACAGAATATGTGCAGATTACAAAAATAAATTGAAAATAATACACTTCCCCAATAAATTAACGCACCACAAAAAAATAACCAAAAGTTAAGTTTTTGTTAAAACCGCTTATCCGATTTGGACGATTTTTTTTTGAATGATAGGTTATTCTTTCCACAATGTTGCTATACTAACTGTATTTTGATAGGAACCCTTTTTATACTAATACCGGGTGTAGCAATTATAACGTGTTTTTTTAATAAAATTTGTGACATCTTGTAGAGTTGATCAGTTACAGTATCAAGTTAAAATTGAAATCACATTTTAGCCTTATCTTTTTTTTTTCATTTTGTTTTTTTATTTACTCCATTATCTTTCTTATTACACGAGAAACAACATTTTATAGGATGACATGATTTAATATTGGTTTTAATTAACATTTTTCCATTTTACTCACTAAAGTAAGTAGCAGGCTATGGAAAAACACGGATTACCAGTAAATGTCAAATAGAGATGCTAGTTTCTGTGCAAACTTGTAGACCATCAGTATCTCTAAGCTGAGTTTAAAGGGTCCGAGCTGTTACGAAACGTTGTCTTAATGTTGAGAGTTTTAAAAAACGTTCCTGAATCGGATTGGTTCTTCGATTCCTGCCTTGTCCCGGCCTGCGACAATGACTTCCAGTATCTCTATACCGTTGATTAACTCGTTGAGTGAGTTACATTAAATCGTTCACCAATTCTTCGGTAGCTCCAACCTTCCTCAGACAATATTAATGCTTGAGCACATTCTTCGCCAGTAAGATTTCTTGTTTCACGTGCACGTTGCATATTTTTGATATAATAAAAGGACCAGAACGACTGACACTGACAACAAGCATCTCTATTTGACATTTACTGGTAATCCGTGTTTTTCCATAGCCTGCTACCCTTGTTTATATATTCTTAAAGTTGTTCCAACCAACAATTCGTATTTATAGTGGTTTACAGTAATTTTGTTAAATTATACGAATATTCCCGTTGATTATTGGTTTGAAATGAATATGACAATGTCCTCCAATGAAAATGCGAGTTGCTTAACTCTAATAATTCTAATTCTGAGCTAGAAAATGAGCTAGATGATTTACCTAGACAGTTATTCAGAAGCTACAAACCTATCGATAAAAATATGCATGAAAATTTACTTCCTAGCACACAACCGGAGCATATTGATACACAGGTGTAGTATCAAGATTATTATAATGATTTTCATAGCTTTAAATCAAATGTTTTTTTGGCGACTTTTGATCTCGCTAGCTCGTGTGTCACGGCCTTGAATTTTTACTACCAGCGCGCGTAAAGAGGTTCAAAGTTCAATAAAGAAGAGTATGTATGGGCCAAGTAAATGACGTCTAGGGCTTGACTTCGCCAAAATTATCATCAATCGTCATTCCTCAGCCGTCTTTGACGCCGTTTTTTTTCGATCGTATAGTACAACTGCTAATAGGTTGTCAGCGATTTGGTCGTTTTGCTTGGAATTCTAGTGTAATATAAGAGGTAATGATCATATCTCATTTTTTATGTATGTATATATGGAGTTTTTATACAATTTTATATTTCCAATGTTTTGATAGTATATCTCATCGTTCTTCTAAGGCAGGTAGATTTCAGTGTTTCGGTGTTTGACCTTTAAGTAAACACTAATGTTTATCTCCCTTTAAAAGAAAACATTTTAGATATAAGGATGACGTAGAAATATGTTATAAAATGGTTTGATATTTGACATGCATTTGAATAAATCAATTTATAACATATTTGTATGGAATCATGTGTTAGTCTATAAGAAATAATTTTGTTTAGTGAAGTGATAGGTATTCTTTTGGTGTTGTTTACAAGGTTGAGGACGATTTCATCTCAAAAAAAAGTATTGCTGTTTTTTTGGTAGCTGTTTAATAAAGGTTCTTGTTGCAATTTTTTTGTTTCATTTATTTGTTTGGGTATAATATTTAAATTAGAAAAAAAATTCTTCAAATAATAATTTATTTATATTACTAAAATTTATAATTTCTCTAATGGATATAATATTTAGAACTAAAAAAATATATGTACTTATAATCACAGACATTGAATCATTATCTAAAATCGTATCATGATAGCTTAATATAAATATATCGATAAAGCTGTCTACTTTCTAGTTTTGTATTATTTTTATAAATTTTAAAACATCTCTTTTAATCTTCCTAATAATAATAGTATTCATTTTGGCACTATTTGACATGTATAATTTAATATGTACTTTGATAAAAATTGATCTAAAACTTGTTTTGTTCTACTTATATAAATACTAATTTGTTTTCATTTTTGTACTTCATATGTGATTTATAAAAGAATAAGAATACTTCTGACGGCTATTGACTTCATATTAAAAAAATATTCATACACATAGGTTACTTTTTATCCCATAAAAACTAAAGGATATGGATTACTGTTATCCAGTTCGACGTTGCTGGATACTCTGGGAGTGGGAGGTCTAGGATCGGTGTCTGAGCATCCTAAAAGCCAGTAGGTTGTTACAAAACCCTTGCCTTTTAGTTCCACCTCTCCTCTGAGTTCCATATTGAAGGTACCGAATGTGTCGAATAAACTTTTGGTAGCTTCGCTCACGTGAATTTTGAGGGCTGTAAAAACATAAAAAATCAGATTTAAAGTTAAATCTGTATTGTTTCTAATCTTTTAGTTTTTAGAAATAATTCTACTAAGAATCTTAGATCCTATAAACTTCGTGAATAAAGCGTTACTTAGCAAGTTATTACTCACAACTTCGGTGAGTATGATGTACGTTTTCTACTTATTTTTTTCTAGAAGAATGTTAACGATATCCTTCTCTTAGGGTGAGCTTATTAAGCTTAGGGCTGCCAACGGTGCACTATTCCAGAGGACAGTCTTTATGGTCGTACTGTTCTCTTTCACGTATTGCAAAAGTCCTCTAATTTTATATACAAAATTCACAAAAAATCAAATCTAAAATTATTTGTCTATCGTCTATCGGAACTACGAAAGCGTAGAGCTCTGCCATCGCAACGTTGAAGAGTATTTTTTAGTGAAATTTACAGTTTTTTTGTAAATTTACACTTTTTCTGTAAATTTACATTTTCTGTAAATTTACACTTTTTTGGTAAATTTACACTTTTTATGTAAACTCTACACTTTTTCTGTAAATTTACACTTTTCTGTAAATTTACACTTTTTCTGTAAATTTACACTTTTTCTGTAAATTTACACTTTTTATTTAAATTTACACATTTTCGGTAAATTAAATAGACACTTTTTCTGCAAATTTACACATTTTCTGTAAGTTTACACTTCCTGTAAATTTACACTTTCTCTAAATTTACACATTTTCTGTAAATTTACACATTTTCTGTAAATTTACACTTTTTATTTAAATTTACACATTTCTTGTAATTTAGTTTTTCTGGAAATTTACACATTTTCGGTAAATTTGCAGTTTTCTGCAAATTTACACTTTTTCTTTAAATTTACACTTTTTCTGTAAATTTACACTTTTTCTGTAAATTTACACTTTATTTAAATTTACACATTTTCGGTAAATTAAGTAGACACTTTTTCTGCAAATTTACACATTTTCTGTAAGTTTACATTTTTCCTGTAAATTTACACTTTCTTTAAATTTACACTTTCTTTAAATTTACACATTTTCTTTAAATTTACATTTTTTTTGTAAATTTACACATTTTCTGTAAATGACACTTTTTCTGTAAATTTACACATTTTCTGTAAATTTATAGTTTTTCTATAAATTTACCCTTTTTCTGTAAATTTACACATTTCTTGTAATTTAGTTTTTCTGGAAATTTACACATTTTCGGTAAATTTGCAGTTTTCTGCAAATTTACACTTTTTCTTTAAATTTACACATTTTCTGTAAATTTACAATTTTTCTCTAAATTGCATGCTAAATATACTACCCAGCAAGACGACGCCACGCGACGGCGACGTCTCGGCAACGACCTGTAAACTGTACAAAACTGTAACTTTGTGTAAATTTACAGAAAACATGTAAATTTATAGAAAAAGGGTAAGTTTACAGAAAATTTGCAAATTTACAGAAAATGTGTAAATTTACAGAAAATGTGTAAATTTACAGAAAAAGGGTAAGTTTACAGAAAATTTGCAAATTTACAGAAAATGTGTAAATTTACAGAAAATGTGTAAATTTACAGAAAATGTGTAAATTAAGAGAAAAAGTGTAAGTTTACAGAAAATTTGCAAATTTACAGAAAATGTGTAAATTTACAAAAAAATGTGTTAATTTGCAAAAAGAACTGTAAAAATCTTTTTCAGGGTTGGTATGGCAGCGTATATATAAAATACGCTTTCGTACGTAACCCAGCGCACTCAGCTGTTATTCAAAGGAAACTTCTGTCTCTTCAAAATATTGTTAAGGCTGTTTACCCCTCAGACGAAGAATTTTCTAGACATTTTTATAAAATGATCTGATATTTTTTGCGAATTTACTTATCCACGTAGATTATAAGATCTAAGAAGAAGGTACAGCACGATCGAAAATGGGGTATGGAGAATGGCAGTCGATGATAAACTCTAGACGTTATTTTCTTGGCCCGTACTCTTCTTTATTTTCTAATGGCTCTTACTACCAGTTGGCCTTAAGAAGGTTGTAATTTATTTTTAAATGACGTAGTTTAAAATCGAGAATTTTTTTTTTGTAAAATAGATTTGTGTGTCTGGAAACGTTCTATCGTTTTTAAATATCTCTATAATTAGCGTTAATTTTTCACACTGAAGTTCTATATTAATTTTCAGTAAATGTCTAGAGATTGACCTCGGAAAAATTCTTATCGAGTCTTTGACGCCGTTTTTTTTTCGATAATACGGTATATGTACTCACGTTGTCCTGTACTCTCCATTCGGCTAGCTGTATTGACTGTATCTCCGAACAAGCAGTAATGGGGCATTTTTTGGCCCACCACGCCTGCACACACTGATCCAGAATGTATTCCTACAACGGAAAATTTCAAAACCTAAATGTCGTATATCCCTTAGTCTTTATACACAGGATAACCACTTATAACTCGCCTAATTTTGAAAGAACTTTTTTTACAACCGTTAACATTTTATGCAGCTCATTAAAAATAGGTTTGAGAAATTGTGATCTTTGCGCCGGCGCACAGTGGTATATTTCTGTCTTGAAACTGGCCATAAGTCGAAAATTCAAACTGCAGAAAAATCGTAGGCAGTTCATCAGTCTACACGTAAAGTTTTACTTGTCAGTCTTTCTTGTTCAGTCAAAATGTATAAAGTAAAATCTTGCGTGTAGACGACACAGTTTTAAGTGGTCATCCTGTACGATTTTTACCTGCTCTTAGCTGTAGAAGTCTGTCTGGTTGGTGGGCTATGGTAAAATTTCTCACAGCATCCAGTATGGCTAATGCCATGAGACCTATTTCTCTGGCATGGTTGTTGGCGTTTCTTTCTGGTAGTCCAGATACTACCATGTAAGCGTCTCCAATAGTTTCCACCTAGAATTGGTAAATAGTCTAATTTTAGTATCGTTTGGAAGACAAAATTAAAGATAAATTATCTAAAACATAAACTAGATACCTTATTTTCAGTTCATTTATTATTTACCTTATAAACGTCATAGAATCCAATTATTCGGTCAAATGTGCTATACAGGTCGTTTAAAAAGTCCACTACCTGAAAGACCGATTTTATTTGGGTATTGTATTAAATTAAACGACATGTAGGTATATTTAGAGTATTTCAGAAAGGATAAAACCACAAATTCTCGTGGAAAATATGTGAAGGCCCTCCAACCAGTCTGCGAAGATTTCGAATCCAAAACATGATAGAAAATCCAATTTGTCAGTAAATTAAAATAACAGTCAACTGTCGGTTATGTATTTTCTAGTTGAATAGATTTTAAATTGATTTGCTCTATCTTATATTTGTAACATTATATCGTTAGTTATAAACCTTGGTACCTAGCTATACATTATAAAAATATAAAATAAGGTAAATATACTAAAATTGCTGTTAGACTTCTGCATACCTTTCAGGAATACTCTGTATATATCAAAGGATTTATAGAGTTATATATACCTGCATGGGTGTACTGTTAGCGCAAAGTGCAGTGAATCCAACAATGTCACTAAAATATATAGTAACACTTTCAAATTGTTCCGGTTGAACTAACTCTCCAAGCATCAACTGTTGAGCTACGGGTCGAGGTAAGATCTGAAAAACACAATATCTACATAATATATAAAATGCTAATGTTTATCTGTGTCGTCTCTACTGAAGTAACGACTTGCTCTAGAAAGTTGATTTTTTTACTAAAAGATAGCTAATTGCAGTAGCGGCTCGTGACCATTAGAACTGATGAGGCGACGCAAACGCGGACGAAAACAAAAAGACGGGGGGGGGGGTCTAAGCTGCAACAAGTTTAATTTTTTTTCCTCAGATATAATATGTTTGAAGGTTTAACCTACTAAAAATGTCATAAGAACTTTTTTTTTGTTTTTATGTGTTTATTTTCTTTTTGTTTTTTTTAAGCAGCTAAGCAACAATAAGCTAGAGATTTTTTTACTCCTCAGGTATAATAAGTTTGTAAGCATAACTTATTAAAAAAGTCATCATCGGAACTGTTTCTTTACTTTTTTTTCTTCAGAGTATAAATAATATAACTTAAACATATATTAGCTATTAGCTAACTAATCTAATGATCGTAATATAACAGCTCTAATTTGAGGTTTTCGTTCGGTTAGTAAGACGGAATTTGTCACATCAATCTCTACGACGCGCGACGCGACGACATAAATAAGAAACAAACACGTAAAAAATAGTTAAAAAATGTAATTGTATAAGAATTATTCCTTGTAGGTTAAGTTTATACGTCTGTCTTTAAGAATAGCAAATTTATCAATTATGTCATCATAAAATTTCCCTTCGTTCTCACTAAGGGTAACCAACAGCTCCTTTTCAATTGAAAATAAAGACAAAGCAGAAAGTCTATCTTGTAACATTGTATTTTTTAAGTAAGATTTTATCCGTTTTAGACAAGGAAAATCCCGCTCGGCTTGAACACTTGTAATCGGGATTGTTAATTTGTCTTTTTATCATTTGTTATAACACTTATCTGGGGAGTAGGTCTGTTTCCCTGTAAGACCTCTCGCTTTTCATCCTCCTGTCTTCCGGAAAACGGGGTTTCTAGAAGGGACATCACAATGTCATGTACATGATGCATTTTAAAGTCTGATTGTTACAAAATAAATCACTAAACTCTGAATTACAGGAGGTAATTCGAGGTGAGGCGGCGCCTCAGTTGCCTCACCTGACGGGCCGCCACTGGCTAATTGGCTTTTCTAAAAACTGTCGTCGCCAGATTTTTTGTTTTTCATTTATAATTAAAAAAAAATAAAAAGTATCTTTTCTTCCAGATGTCGTGGCGCGGATGCGCCAGGCTTCAACTAGTTAGTAATAATGAATTAAATAACATTGACTGTATTTATACACGGAATAAATATAATGCACCGAAGATATTTTATCTTTGGGCGCTTATTTCAAACACAAAAATTTTTATTTGTCAAGAGCTTTCAGAAACAAAGTCTAAGAAAACTAACAAAAAATGGTTGCTATGTCGTAGTTTTCGAATCTAATTAACTAATTTAATTTATTAATTAATATAAAAATAAAGATTATTTGAGAAAGGGAGATTTTCACAAATCTATAAGATTTGTCACCATTCATGGGACACAGGGCACAGAATAAATTTTAATAACGCCAAAATAATAATGAAAGAAGCCATAGCCTCTAGAAGAAAAATAAAAGAGGGTTTTTAATACAATCTAATAAAAATAAATTTATTAGTTTGCTCATACATCTGTAGATGTTAGTAATGTATGGCAATCGCTTCTTTGATTTTAAAGAACATAACATAAATACACATAGCATATACGTAAAAATTAAAATTAATCATACCGAATGTTTGAGGCTTTTTGGTTTTACCTTATTAAGTAATTGTTATCAGGTAGTTAGTTGTTAATTTTGAAGTTTAACTTGATATAATGTCATTTTGACAGACCGTCAACGGTTTTTGTAGACGTATCTCTTTTAAAAAACTAAAGTGTTCTCGAATAGTTGAATTTAAATATTTTAAATAGTTTTTTTTTCTTTATTCTTTGTATTTTTTTGCTTCCGACGACGGAAAGAGATAAAACTTTCCGAAACCTGAAGCATTTTTTTTAGTTAGGCAAATTTGTACATCTATAAGCGCAGTGTTTACAAAAAATAACTATTTTATTTTGTAGATTTTCTTGCGGTGGCGAAATACCCGCATATAGGATTTTTTTGGAGAGATGAATCCGCCATATAGGTATAGACATTTTTTATGAAAATAGTATTTTACTTTATCCTTAGTTTATCTTCTGCAGTATATAAAGCAATTGATTGTTACCTGATAAAGCAATTCTTCCGATCTGCGTTTCTCTTGGCTCAACTCTTCTGTTTTTTCGCTCACCAAAACTTCTAAATTGTTCGCGTATTGCTCCATTCGTCGTAACAAATCGTCCATTAAGTTTTCGCAGTAACCCCTATATAGATAAAAAAATATAGTTAAGTATAAAATACCATCAAAAATAAAATGGCGCCAGATTTGGCTTGGATATGAAGATCGGTATTTTCCATTTTCTAAGTTCCAAGCCAACTCGACGCCGTTTATTTTTCGATCACACACGGTATTTACTAAATGCAGATTATTTTTTCGCTTACTTCATAATACTTTTTAGATTTCCTCGTATCGAATCGAACGTGGGCCTTTCCTCTGGATTATCGTTCCAGCAACGTTCCATCAGTTCCAGCAATTCTTCGGGACAGTCTCTTTGACTGACCGCTGGACGAAACGGTGGGTTTTCCCTACTGGCCACGCGTGCTATTATTTCTACAAAAACAGTAGCCATTTAGGTAAATTGGCGAAAAACTAATGAAAATATTCATTAACGCAAAAAAGTATTTTGTTATCAAACAAGAGTTGCTAAATAATTATAAATAATAAACTAGAATAATTTATTTCAATCAAGGATTTTAACGTGATTTTATTTTTGTACAATAATCCAAAATTAGATTTAATGGAAGAGAGTTGAGCATAGTTGATTTCTGCTCTTAAAACAAAACGGCTCCATGGCGCCGTGGCTTAGTTGGTTAAAGCGCCTGTCTAGTAAACAGGAGATCGTGAGTTCGAATCTCGCCGGGGCCTACCAAACTTTTTTATTTTTTTATTATTATCAATATACGTTACTATTATAAATAATTTTTCTAGAATAACTACAAAACGTCTGATAAACAAATACTTTTTTTAATTAAATATATTTTTAAAGAGAAAATATCGAGATCTACCAGCACTAAAAATATTTGCACTTATTTAAGACTCATCCTGTATAAAAGTATTATCATGCATTTACCTTCAACTTCTAAATATCTTCTGGCAGCATCATACGGCCCACCCCGTACAATAATTTCTTCCAGAATTATGGCAAAGCTGTAGACGTCTCCTTTCTGTGTTGCCGGATTGCCAGGGACTAGCGTCAAAGGTAGTAATTCAGGAGCCACCCATAGCATTTCTGGAAATAATAGTTATACTCGTAGCAAAGAGTAGATAAGACAAGAGACGACAGTTCGCGCGGTACCTTTCATGTTTGAGTGGTGGGGAGAGTGACCTCGTCTCGCTTGTCCCTTTAAATTTTCGTAATTTTTTCGCGGGAAATTTGAAATAGACTATTATTAAAACTTGCCCAAGAACTTGCCTGTATAGCTTATAAATAGTTACTGTATGGGTAAAGAAATAAATAGGAATGAAAAAAATGAGTTTTCTAAATATTATATAAAATAAATTATAATTAGAAACATATTTGTCCGGGAATAAAGATAATAAAAGCAATATTTTGTATATCGTTGGTAAACAAGATAAAGTCGATTTGTAAGAAATGTTTTATTTACGTGTATTTTTTTTACATATGGGCTTGAACAAGTGTAATATCACAATGTGGAGTTTATGTACAAAAAAATAGAGTTGCTCAATTTTTTTTTGTAAAAATATATTACAAGCTTCTAACCATGTCTTCGATCTATGGATTACATTTAGTTTAATAACATAATTATATAGTATATTTCTATAAAAATACTTTTCAGGATCCTTTGGGTGAAAGGGTGAAATATTATGTTTGTCGAAGAATATGGCCTATTTTTGCAGTCTTTATAAGCAAACACATTGCCACCATCTCGTCTTTTCCTGCTACTCGTGTCCTGTTCATTATTCATATTTAACCATAATTACTAATTAGTACGCAACAAAAACGATACTAAAATTAAACCTTAAAAACTCTCAAAACGATAATATATCGAAAAACTCTGAAAACACACTTTAAAAAGGCAAAAATGTAAGAAAACAACTAATCAGATTTGTATTTGTTTATGTTTAAGCCTGATTGAATAGCAGAGCTGATTAGCGTCCTAAAATCATAGGTTAGAATAAATAAAATACGCAGTTGTCAGATTTTCAGATTTTATCTGTTTATCTTTGAAATCGATCAACTTAGTCATTCTGTTTCTTTGATATTATCAGTACATTGCGAAAAAAGAACCTAAACCAACCTAAACTAAAAATTTGTATTTCCGTATTAACATACGTTACTTATATCCTTCTTATATTATTAATTTATTTTCAGAAAATCTTGTTTATTTTTCAAAGAAATATACTTGGCAACAGACAAAATGGGACCTGATGGGACCTTTAAATTTTAATATATCTGCGTCTCTCTCGCGAAATTCGACTTCTTTCTTCACTGTCGTCTCTTGTCTTATCTACTCTTTGCTCGTAGTATAATATTCTGTTTACATATGTGGGGGTGGGGTTGTATATTTTGCGGACATTGTCAATCAGGTATGCTGTATCTTTTTGTATCTTTTTTATATTTATTAAGTTAAGTTACAAGTTATATTACTTAAGAGACAAAATATATTATTTTTTTGATACAGGGTGTCCCAGAAATAAGTGCAAGTATTTTAAGGGGTGGTAGATCTCGTTAAAAGAAACGGATTTTCTCTTTATGGTTTTTCAAGTAAGTCCAAAATAACGGAGTTATTTTATTTTGAAAATTTCCAAAAAAAATATTTTTTGCTCAAATTTTGAGAACCACTCGTCTGGATCTTTTTTGGATTTTCTTTCTTGTAAATTTAATTTACTACCTATGTTGCCATATTATCAAGAAATTGTGTTTTTTAACTAAAAACTAAAGAAAATTAAAAAAAATCTAATTTTCAAAAAAAAAACATTTTGCGAAAAAACCTTATAGGCGTGTTTCTAGGGTTCAATTATACTACCAGTTAAAATCTTGCACTTATTGGGACACCTTGTATAAAACAACTTACTGTTGTAGTAGCTTGCGTCCTTTATCACATCCATAGGCGTACTCAAGGATGTTAAACCAAAATCAGAAATCTTCAGAACGAATCTTCCATCGATCAGACAATTGCATGATCTCAGTTTTCCATGAAAAGAAATGTCACAGCTGTGTAAATAGCTCATGCCCTGTAAAAAACAATAGCTCATGACCGTCAAGAAACCTATAATCCCTGTTACTATTTGATCTACTCCTATCGGTCTAAGAGACCTTCCTTTTTACTATACCTGTCAATTAATCAATTACCTTTACTATGTCGTATATCAAAGACATCCTAAAATTCCAATCCAAGTGTATGTCTTCGTTTTCCAACACGTCTCTTAGGCTGCCTCTTGAACAATACTCAGTGAGAATAAGAATAGTAGGACATTCAATACAAGCTCCCAAAAATCTGACAGTATTCTCATGCGTGACGTCTCGAACCTTGTCATAAAACAGAGTACAATAAAAATATATAATCCTAATTTACAGGCTTGGTGCATTTCAGTTAATTTCAACAAACCCCGACCGCAGCGCTTCAACGGCAAAAACCAGTAATTATCAGTATATAGTTCACGCCGCCGCACAGTGGAACGAGCTTATGGGAGCGGTTGGACATTAAGTTTTTTACTTGATACTTTCAATCTGGAAAACTTAAAATTATTTATATATACTGTAATATTATGTAAAGAGGGACGTCTTAAATTATAACAAAAAATTGTTGCCTTACATAACTTAAACCATATATAGGGCGCCCTAAAAATATAGTGTGTTTTACCAAAACCAATTTTTTTAAAGCCCATAACTTTGCTTCATTGTTATCAAATTTTTTCGTTTTGAGTTTTTTTGGAGTGGAGGAACTTTGAGTTTTATTAGAAAAAATATTTTTAATAGATTAATAATTTATTATATAGGGTGGTCAACAAAAATGAGCCTTTGAAAATTGTTCATTACTCAAACATTTGTCTTCTTCTTGCGGTGCCGTGCCTGTCTTCAGGCGTTGGCGATCTCCATGACTATTTCGTGGAAGAGTTCTCTATCTTCTGCTGCATGAAACAGCCTCTCCACCCCCAGACCGGTCCAGTTCCGTATATTTCTGAGCCATGACAGTTTCTTTCGACCTATCCATCTTCTACCTTCGACTTTTCCTTGAATAATCAAACGAGGAATATAATATTTGGTGCCACGCATTATGTGTCCGAAGTAGATCACCTTTCTGGCCTTGATGGTGGTTAACAGTTCCCGATCTTTGTTCAGCTGTCCAAGAACTTCCTCGTTGCTTATATGTTCGGTCCAAGAAATTTTAAGAATTCTCCGGTAGCACCACATTTCAAAGGCTTCTATTTTATTTATATTCTCGACTTTTAGCGTCTATGTCTCGCATCCGTAAAGAAGAGTGGACCATATGTAACAACGTAGTGTTCGCAATCGGGTTTGCGGTGATAGGTTTCTATTAGTGAGCGTGGTATTCCATTTTTTGAATGTTCTACGTGCCATTTCAATTCTTGCCTTTACTTCTTCGTCACATGTATTTTCACTATTTAGCCAGCTTCCTAAATATCAAAAATGTGGTACTTGTTCAATATTGTGTCCGCTGATTTTTATCGGGATTGGATTAATTTTTGGTAATTTTGGAAAGCTAATGCTTTGAAATATACAAATTTAATGTCAAAATTGATATTTCATAAAAATTGAAGATGACGAACAATTTTAAAAATTAGGTACTTTTAAGTTTGTATTTTAATAAACGCAGTTTTAGATAAAGTTAATGTTTTCTGGACAAAATAATGTTAAAAAATAATGGTTTAGCATGTTTTTCTTTTCGTTTTTGAATATTTCAGCCAAGTGATAACCATATTAAATTACTGCATATTTGAAAATTATTTGAACGACTAGCATTATTTCTTAATGTCAGGGTAAATGTCAAATAAGGCGTGCGGGAAAGTATCACTTTACGCATTTGTTAGGAAAATAACTATAGTAAAGTGATAGAACACTAATTTCTCATTAAAAAGTCCTATTTGAGAATTATTTTTTTAATAGTTCTGCTTATAATAATAAAAACCGTAGATGTATCCTAATGGAGGGGGGTGCAATGATTTGGATATAATCTACTAATATACGATTTAGGATAGTACCTAATAATAATATCGGAATAACAATATATTTTTAAAGCCAGACTTGTTCAACCTATGTAAATTACTTAAAAGCCCCTTGGAAATAGTATCCATCGTATAGTTCAAATTTTGTTTTTTTTCAAAAAACGGCAAATTGGGGCAACTTTTTTATATATGTTTATAATAAGGGTATAATGGTCTACTATATGCCGCTATTCTTTTTATGGTACCTTGCGGCACTTACTTCATATTTCTTGATGATTAGATCTATAATAAAAATTCAAAACTTTTTAATTCAAAAATATATAGTGGGTGATTGATGAGATGTATGTACAAAATTTTGCCAAAAATTCATTCACAAAGAACGAGTTAAATTAAAGAAATAATATTTTTTAAAAAACCTACCGCAGCTTGGGCAATAAAAAAATCAAATTGTGGTAATATTTTCAACATGAATTAGCATTTTTGAAAACGGTTAATTTTAAACCTTTGTAAAAACGACAAAATACATTTTTGTTTTATAAAAATCAGTTTTTAAGAGAGGACTGACATTTGTTTTTGAAACTACCTTATTCAGTTTTCCATTTTCCCAAAAAAAATTTTAGCCCCATGTCCAACATTTAACATGGACTCGTTCCATTGTGCGCCGTGCCGTCATGTTGATCACATTAAAATAATATTGAAATCGTGGTTTTGTCATAATATTTAAGTATTTTGGTCTTTTTCTAGTGCAGTTAGACGACTATACTCAGGTACGAGGTTTGTGTGCTGTAACGCTGTTTAGGTTAGTAAAAAATAAGTAAAAAAGAATTCGAACTAGGCGTGTTGTGTTGTGACAATTTCATATGTTAATAAAATTGCCGAAGAAATAGTAACGCGTAAAGGAGAGCGTAATTAAGGCGTTATTATGTGCAATTAGATTCAATAACTCAACTTTTTCTCGGATATTCCACTCTCCCGAAACAACGACTACAGCTTCATCGTTTCTCCCACCGACAGTAACCGATTTGATCAATAGCAAAAATGGATTCAAGCGGTTCGACGAAACAAATGAGTAAACAAAGTGCTTGTTACATAATCAAAAATTAAATAGACATATACTGAGAGGATAAAATATAATTTGCAATATTATTGTTTTTTTAATAAACTAGTGATTAAATGTTTTATGAACATCTTCTAAAATTATAATTATGTACCTTTAAAAAATTTCGTTATAGCCGAAATAGTCCCAATTATGCCCCACTAGCATAACCAGTGATTAAAACTATGCTCGTTGCCGTAGTTGATCTCATCTAAAAAGTTTTTTTAACTGGAATAATAAATTATAATACAAGTTTGACCTTCTGAAGATATCAAAATATTTTTTTTTATTTTTATTTTTAGAATGTTCACAAATTATACTTCCTAACACTTTTATATTATAGAATAATTAATTAATACATATTTCGTATACTGGCTATCTAAACCCATGTATTTGTATATGCTAGTTTTTTACGATATTCTCCGACGGTGGCAGCACCGGCGGAGGATGCACCAAGCCTATACTTATGTATAATCTGTATAGGCAGCGAGGCTTGTACCTACTATCAAAGTTTACTGAATTCTGTTGAGAGTGTTGAATAAACTTTGCTAGTACATTTCAATAAAAATATTAAGGAAGGACCTTATAACCTGTTTTATTTCCCATAGTAGTTTTTTGTTGATATCAATTTTCTTCTTGGTTATTCTCTTTATAGCCACTCTACTCCCTTTGTAGACTCCCACCGTTGTATATATTTTAGTTGAAGGCAACGACGTATTCGACGTTATAGAGCCTCTACAGCTTGTTAAACCATACGTCTGAAAAATATAAAATTATATACAGTATGCGCCAAAAAGCACACAACAAACAGAAAAGGAATTATTGAGTTACAGGGAACATTATTTTTTTTAATTTCTTATTTGTAAAATGTTTGTTGCGAACTCTTTGGAGCATCCTGTAGCGTGACTCTTCTTTGAATACTCCCAAATATATGTCATGTCACTTGTCATGTCAACTTGACGCAATAAATAGAGATCAGTAAAGTGTCAACCAACCGTCGTATCATGAACAGGCCCAGCACCCCATCACCCATGCCATCCCTCATCACATAAAATACCGCACACCCTGTATAACGAATTACCTCTGCGAGTTTTTGCACGGCAAGCTTAGATCCGAAAGGTCTTCCTGGTTCTAGAATTACTTCTTCAGGTCGAATTCTCCACGACATGTTGTTTAGATCAGCCGACGTTTTCATGTGTCTGAAAGTGTCAGAAAAATATTCATTGAAACTTTGTGTATAAGAATACATAATGAAACGGTTTTTATTTCTTACTGAATTAATATAAGCTTATATTTGTACCTCAGAAGCAGTTGGGCTGACGTCCACTTTTTTACAAAATGTTGTTTATGGAACTTTTCAACATACCTTATATGATAAGAAAAAAGATAATAAGCAAATAGTGGACTGAGGCCCTATACCTTTAGTGTATAGGCACTTCACATTTCTCAGTCTCCTGTAAAATTATAAAAACTGGACTTCAGCCCAAGCGCTTCTTAACTACGGATTGCGCTAAGGATCGTTTTACTTGTCGAACTATCAGTAAAAATCGAAAAAATTGTAATTTTGTGCGTTCTTTTGCTCTTTAGTGAAAACTACTTCTTCTTCAATAAATTTCTCAATAAGTAATTGATAATTTATGACTTAGCAGCTACAAATATTGTTGAAAACATCGAACATGCTGAGAACATTTCCCTCGTATAATAAAAATAATGACATATCCATAGAAAAATAGCTTGACATAACTCAACAATATGCTATGAAATTCACATATATCTTTGAATAAAAAGACATATATATCATTATATGGGAAATGTCATCGATCGTCATTTCCAAACCAACTGGACGGCGTTTTTTTTTCGTTCATACGGTATTATGGCATACTTACTTATATGTTACGCAGATTAGTGTGGAAGTAAATGCGAGAAATAAACCAAAGGCAAATAATCCATAAATTATGACCATATATGCTTCTAATTAAGCAGCATGAAACATTTAAAAAAGAGGTAATAATAAAATAGTAATCAAAAATACCTTATAATGATTTGATTAAATGTATGAGGCAATTCACTTTATTACAAAATTATACTTATTTTCTATATATTTCTGTAAGTCTTTCTCAACAAGTTTACCTTTGTCCCTACATTCGGGATTGTCACCCAGAAACCCGCACCTTGGGATGTCCGCGGGGGGACCTTCTTGACCACCGGGCCAATGGATTCGCTTTCCACGCAGCGGAGTGTAATGCTTATCCAGTCCATTGTAATGCCCTACAACCTGAAAACAATTTTTTTTTAAACGTCACAAAAGTATTAATTTTTGCGACGTGACATTTTAACGCCTAGACATAAAAGTAAGCCACTTCTACACCTAAGCACAAAAGTACAAAAATATATTATTAACTGATATGAAATAGCAAATTCAGTGAGTGTACCCATTGTTGCTCGATATATAATTACTTAAAGGTATTATTTTTTTATTTAAAAAAGTACCTTTGGTGCTTCGACTGTAACGTACAGCCTCCCCAATAAAATTCTCATTTTTACTCCTAATAAAATAATATACTATTATCTGCTACCGTATGATCGAAAAAAAAACTGCGTCCAGTTGGCTTGGAAATGACGATCAATAACATTCCCCATATCAAAGGACAGCGATCTTCATTTCGTAGCCATCGCTGATGCCGGTTTTTTCGATCATATTGTACCATACGATGGAAAAAAAACGGCGTTAGTGATGGCTATGACATGAAGATCGCTGTCATTTTATACAGGGTTGTTCACCACATACGACACGGAGTATTGTAGCTAAACGATGAGATTTTTACAAATTGTAAGTTTTGGGTTCGATGAAGGACTATTAGAGGTACAATTTAAAAATAATTTTACAAGATACAGAGTGTCCCAAATAAGTAAAAAATATCAAAGTTGTATTTTTTTAAATGGAATATCAAATTATATTATACCATTATTTACCTATCTCTTTAAGTTTCCGTAGAAAATGCATTTTCTTGTAATTTAGAACTTATTTATCAAAATACCCATGGACTATTGACATTTTAGATTATTTTTAAAGATGTACCAAATTTTTAAAGAGTACAGATACTAATATTGTCGATATAATTCGTTTATTTCATTAAAAAATAAAAAAAACTGTTTAAATATTTGTTAAAGAGGATCAATTAATATGATTCCAGTATTCAAACTACATTAACTGACTGTTTGCGTTGATTAATAATAATTGCTCCAAATACTAAAAAACTGAATTTTGTATGTACATTAGACAGTGTGATAAAAAGTAACACCTTAAAAATGATATTTCATTTTTTAATAAATGCTTATTTATAACAACAGAGACTTTAATTTGATAACTTATTATTATATTGATTTCTGACTCAAATCCACATTTATTTATAATAATTTATTAACGAATACAACTAAGTATATAATTAATTAGTATATGGGCGGAAATAATGGTATTATATTTAATTAATGGTATACTCTTTTATAAAGATTTAAATAGTTTTCTTTTTGCATACAAATGGGCTTTTTGCATACAACATACTGTTTTAGCAAAACGATAATATTACTAGCCTGTACATTTTGTACATTTGTTGCTTTAAAAACAATCTAAAATGTCAATATTCCATGGATATATTGATAAATGAGGTCTAAATTATAAGAAAATGCATTTTCTACGAAAACTTGAAGGGATAGGTAAAAAATGGTATAGTACAATTTGATAGACAATTTAATTGTGCATCTGATTCTCCTAAAATATACAGGACATTCCAGTTAAATTAAAGAAGTTATTGCCGTTTGAAGCTAATAATTATTTAAAATAAATTTTTAGACACTCTGTATAAGGTAGTATTACTTTTATTATTGCAACACAATAACTGATCAATAAATAAACTTCATTAAATATTTAGTATTAAAAACATTGATACCCTTGGAGAAATGAAGCTTTAAAATTTTTACTGCAATTTCACAAAATTGAAAATATTTCAAAAACGGTAAGGTTTAAGTATAATAAACCTTAATCAAATTTACCTTTATTTTAATCGTAGAAACTAAAAATGTAATAATATACAGGGTGTTCCATTTAAAAAAATACAACTTTGATATTTTTTATTTATTTGGGACACTCTGTATCATGTAAAAATATTTTTAAATTGTAGCTCTAATAGTCGTTCAACGAACCCCAAACTTACAATTTGTAAAAATCATCTCATCGTTTAGCTACAATACTCCGTGTCGTATGTGGTGAACAACCCTGTATATAAAATTATATGTGAAATGTCATCGATCGTCATTTCCAAGCCAACTGGACGCCGTTTTTTCCATCGTACTATAGTCTATTTGATTTTCATTTATTTACGCTTGGGGATGTAAATAAAAGCACTTGTATGGTATTTGTAAAATCAATAATTGGACTAGATTGTTAACATTAAACAGTTGAATTAGTAAGATAGTAACCTCAAATTTTCCAGTTATTGGATCCAAATCCAGAATGGAATAGTCGGCATCTCTGTCACCATTGTCGTCAATACGTACATGGCCGGTTATACCTGAGAATAAGTTAAAGATAAAAATAAATACAAAGACTACGATATTAGGATAGAGAGATATTACCTAAAAAGTGTCTATCCCACATACGAGCTGTAATTCTAACACCGTCTCTAATATTCCCTCCATCGTTCACTGTTTCATTCAGAGCCATTCCTAACAGGTAAACCCCATCGTAGAAGGCTCCTATGACAAAGTTCACCTAAAAAAAAATCCTACCTATCAAATTTGAACCTCTTTCACTAGGCAGTTTTAAATACAATACGATAGAAAAAAAATTGGCGTCAGCGATGGTTATGAAATGAAGATCGCTGTCATTTTATATGTAAAATTCTATGGGGAATGTTATCAATCGTCATTACCAAGCCAATTGGACGCTTGCACAGTGCTTCGTCCCATGGACAAAAATAAAAAAATAAGTTAAAATTTACTAATATCTAATATATAATTTTATACTTATAGCAATGTTCAACCATCCTGTATATTATTTTTCATAAACAGCGTTTTTGTTAGCAAATATTTTCACTAAAAATAAATTTTGCGATCATTATCTCATCAGTGAAAAGAATAACATTCATAGTAGTTCTGTATATTATGGAGTTAAACGGGTACGTACTTAATTGAAAGCCACTATGGATATTGTTAAACAAGGTATGTACTTTAAATTTATTTCTAAACAAGTTCGTGATTGTAGTTTTTATTTATTTTTTAAGATGATTCTTAAATGGGTATAAAAATTTTACGTTTTCAAATTTCAAAAAGGCATTTAAAAAAAACATATCAAAACATATCTAGAATATTTTTGTTGCCATATTCATACACTTTTAATTTTTGTATAGTTCACCTGCGTCTGCTTGCGACGAACTTTATTTAATAACACTTTTCAGATGGAGTAAAATTGATAAGCAATGCCGATCTGGCTAATACTTAGCTTGATCATAAGGACAAGAACTCAAAATTATTTGTATTTCAAAAAATATGTTCTTATTAGATATTGATGAACCTTCCAGTCAAATGAGACACCACTTGTGCCTGAAAAAGTCCACTATGTTGGAGCGAAACGTCGCATAAAAAAAGTGTCCATCTTTCAATTTATTATAAAATCTCATACCCAGAAAAGGAAAAAATAATATATGCATATGGTCTATTAAAGAGGTAACTATTAACATCCGAACCCCTCATACCGACAAAATGAACAGTAACAACGCGAAAAAGTAACATATTAGAAAATGATGTACAGAAATATCTTATATGTGAGGATACTTCATCTACCTGTGATTTAGATACTATAAATTTAGAAGATTCTGTCAGCAGTGATTCTCCTGAATCAGAGTAGTTACGATCTATGCATTTTGTTGTCCTAAAGTAAATTTATAGCATCTTAATTTTTTTTTTAATTAAATATAACATTAATGTTTCTTTTTCATTAAAGAAAAACATTTTTATCTTATATTAGGCTTATATTGTAGGAATCATGTTCTAATGTTATTTCAATTCTTTTTTATCACAGGAATTTATTTAATACTTACACCGTTTTCATACTAAACTTATTATTTGCTTAGATGGAACACAGCTCCAACATTATTATTATTTATAAGATTTTTTTTTCATAAACGTGGGACTAAGAACATCATCATTTAGTACAATGAGAGTACTCATCATTTGTGTCAAATAAACCTAGTTTGAATAAATTGCTTACAATAAAAGAGAAGTTTTGGATTTTTGTCCTCTAGAGGCCATATGTTCGAAGCACTGTGGCCTGTATTGAACAAGAAGCGTCGTCGTTCAAATTTTTGTTGTAATATGCATATCCAAAATATGGTGGAAAGATGTACCTAATAATGATAGAATTTTACAAAATATTTGTTGTAGCTATTTCTGCAATAGGTTTATTTAATCATGGTGACTTTCTCTGTAATTGAATATTCCATGGCACAAAAAAATGTTTTAGACTTCAACATGACTTGAACAGACTTCAATGCTTCAAAAATGTATCAGTGTCAGTGTCATAAAGTTTAATAATTTACTACGGCTTAGCGAAAGAGTTTCAAAGTAGTAGGGAGTCTGATCTAATCAGGCTCAGGCCTCTACTGTCATGTTGGATGTGAATAGTGTAAACATGCGCATTTGGGGTCAATTATAATTACCTCCTTTGAGGTCAAATGATAATTACCTCTTCGCCATCGCTGATCGTGTAGTTGTAGTCCCTTTTCGAGATCTCCTTGACCTTGTCCGCGAAGTCCTGGAACTTGTCGCTGGTGGGTTGCAAAAGGGACACCCTTAGAAGGGCCTCATAAGCTTTCCTGGCTGCTCCATCTTCTTCATCGTCGGCCTTCCAGTCGTGATCGCCCCAGTACGAACCCTGCAAGAAAATTGGCATTGTCAGTGAAATATGTCTCAAGAGTAGTAGTGGGAACTATCGAATGAATACTATCGAAACATTCGATAGTTGCAATTCATTCGAATAATTCGATAGCTATTAAGAAAACATTCGTCGAAAACTATTCGAATAGAAATATCGAATAGATGCGTCATCTGCCTTGAAATATATTAATTCGGCAGCAAAAACCATTCATTTATAAAATTCATTCATTCGTCCGGATCGATTATAATAAAATATAAACTGGATTTTAGTTGTCGCCCGGCGACGTAGGTTTCTTTCCTAGAAACCCGACAGCGGTCGGTAGCAATGGTATGAAAAAAGCCGGCATCTTTGATTTTGAGTCAGATAAAGATAAGGACACATTATTTTTTTTATTGAGGTGCTAGTATTTACACAGAAAATACATTATGAATGGCGCTGTTGCCGTATATTCGTATTAGTTGGTATTAGCAAAGAATTTTATTCTTTGGTATTATAGTTAGTTAGGGATAGTATGACTATATATTTTGCATTTTTTTTATTAATATTCTGTTGTTACACTGCAATAATACTTTTTATTTTGGATGTAGGAAAATTATTTTTAATGTTTTTAAGCAAAACTGGTTTAATAAATAATAATAACAGTAATAATTTGTTATACCTATTAACACAAAAAATTTAAAATCATTTAATATAAACATTTTTTTAAGTAGTAGCAAAATATAAACAACAAATTAGAAGTCAAAATTATTCATATTAGATCCTATTTAAAAATAATATAGTCTCTAAATTTATTGTGTGGCAACGATGGTTTATTAAATAATAATAATTACAGAACTAATTTGTTATATTAACAACAAATTTTAAAATCATGAAATATAAACATTTATTAATTTTCTAAGCATGCAGTGTAATAGAAGAAAAATATAAATAGAAAATTAGAAATCAAAAGTAATACACATAATTACTTTTTATTACTTTGTATTAGTATTTAAAAATAATATTTGCTTTTACTGGCATTTACTTTAAAAAATAAATGAAATATTTCTTCGCAAAAATCTACATGTAAAACAATTAGTATAAACAAAATACAAATATCGTTAACTTTTTTTTAAATTGTCACGTGTAAAACTTTAATCAATCAATTTAATTTTCTCATCCCAAAATTTGAGTTCGATAACCACTTACTTAACCACATTACCACATTACTTAAATAAACATTTTTAAGTTCATTTACATATTTAAGTTCAACTAATTCATATTACTAAAACATCTAAAATACAAATACATATGTATTTTTAAAATTAATTGTAAGTTCACCTCATCTCTCTTAAAAATTGTTACTTATTAAAATTTCCCATTAAAAAAATAGACCATATACCGTACAAAATTAAATAATTAAAAGATTGGAAAATCACACAAATTTTGGGAAAAAATTTGACCACCTGCACACGTACACAATCGTCAATTTAAAAAAAAACACTACTACTTTAGTATTTTAAATATTTTAATAAACGCAAAAATAGCACAGTATTTAGAAGGCAAGTTATAAAAATTTGGAAGAACTAATAATGCACTGACGCAGACAAAAATGAAACGAATACTAAATTTCATTTATCAAAAGCATTCGATAGTCGTGGGTGGTCGTGGCTTAACGATAACCATTTAGTCGCACGGCGAGGTTGTCACATATGCTTTAGTATACAAATGAATGAATGATTTTATTCGAATGAAACCATTCGATAGTTGAAATCATTCATTCAGTAACCATTCGATAGTCTAATTCATTCGATAGTTCCCATCGCTACTCAAGAGAGCTCCCGACATGCGAAAAAACGTTCAATTTTAGCCTGAAAAAATTCTTCGAGTGCCAGCTGTACGCACACTGGTGCGATCACGACCGCGATCACGATCTCCACGCGGCCGCGGCCAAAAGTTGCTGAAGAATACATAATATATGAGCCGTTTCACATTGGCGCGATCGAGTTTTGGAGACGAAGTGGCCTGGCGGCGTTCTATTCTGCGGTGGCGATCAGATTCAACTTGTCGAGTTTGATCGCGTGATCGCGACCCAACTGATAGGAATTTTCCTTTATTTTGTGTGTTTTTTCTTGTTGCAATTTAGAAATGGAGTTAACAAAGCAGCTAATTAAGGCTGTAAAAATACACAAAATTCTATATGATTTATCCGATCCAAGTTACAAAAATAATAGAATTAAAAATAAAAAGATTGAGACAAAATTGGAGTTGCAATTGGCTTGGACATTACATATGTATACATTTTTATTGTTCAAGTTTAAATATTGTAGGTAAATATTTAAGAATATTTTTTTTCGGTATACATAATTCAGAATTTTAATTTGTACCTATGTATACCTACCGAATGGCGCACTGCATATAATAGGTAATTTGTGATATAGGTACGGCGGTGAACGTGAACGCGTTGGTGTGTGCTAGAATGATCGCTCATGTTATCGCTGCCGTGATCGTGATCGTGATCGCGGCCTTGATCGCACCAGTATGCGTGTAGCTTTGACTGTTGGAGGATTTCCATTTCATTCCAGAAATAAAGATGTGTCTATATACAGGGTGTTTCAAAACAAATGCGAAAAACTTCAGGGGGTTATTCCTTGTTCAAAATAAAGGGTAGTTTGCTTTATAAACGTTGGGTCAAAAGTCAACCATTAGGGAGATATCGCGGTACAAAGATGGCGGAAAAATAATGTTTTTATTCTTTATCTTGAAAACGAAAAACGATAGACTAATGAAATTTTATGGAAGCATTACTGTTATGAAAACATACTTTCTGGTAATTTTCTCACTTTTTTAAAATGAGTGGAAGGTGTTGAAATAAACTACCCCTATCATTCTTGTTAACGAAATTAAAAAAAAAAGTTTATCAAACACATGCAAAAAAATTAATTTGGATAGTTTAGTTTGTTTAGAAACTTTTTTATCTTTTGTGTTTTTATGATAAAACTCACCGATTTGAAATTAAAAAATAAAATGTAAAGCATTACATATCAGGACAAAAAACATTTTTAGATAAAGAATCTAGTGGGCTGCTTCACTTTTTAGGATGTTTCTAATATTATTTTATTGACATTACTCTACTGCAATACGTTATTATCTAGATTCTTATTATTATCGTTAGTATCACTAGATTCTTTATCTAAAAATGTTTTTGATCCTGACATGTAATGCTTTACATGTTATTTTTTAATTTCAAATCGGCGAGTTTTATCAAAGAAACACAAGAGGTAAAAAAGTTTCTAAATAAACCAAGCTATCCAAATCAATTTTTTTGTATGTGTTTGATAAGATTTTTCTTTAAATTTCGTTAACAAGAATGAATAAGGTGTTTATTTCAACCCCTTCCACTCATTTTAAAAAGTGAAAAAATTACCAGAGTGTGTTTTCGTAACAGTAATGCTCCCATAAAATTTCATTAGACTATCTCTTTTCGTTTTCAAGATAAAAAATAAAAACATTATTTTTCCGCCATCTTTGTACCGCGATATCTCCCTAATGGTTGACTTTTGACCCAACGTTTATAAAGCAAACTACCCTTTATTTTGAACAAGGAATCGCCCCCTGAAGTTTTTCGCATTTGTTTTGAAACACCCTGTATATATACAGTCACTATAAATTTTAATAGGTAAAATTGATTAGATAACAATTTATAATAAAGTTGTTGAATATGGTGCTCGAGTATAGACACTAACTAAAACAACTGTCTTGGTTTTACATTAGATATCGCAACTTTTTGTAGTGGAAGAATTTTGTTGCGAGACTTGACATTTTTTTACGTGTAATGGAATTGGTTTTACAGTAAAGACGTGAATTTTTCTTATAAAAAACTTACCTGAAATATTTCTACATCCAGAAATGTCCAATCGCCTTTCGTCATTCCGAGCGAGTGAGCAGCTAACATGAATTTCCGTACCAAGGACCCTCTCACGCTCAATATAACCACTGCAAAAAATAAATCGGAATGGTAGAAATCCCATTTTTTATGTTTTAATATAAAATGAGGAACTAAAGAATCGATATCTCTTTAAATCGGAAAAACCACATATTTTGTAATCGAATATTTTAAAGTTTTATTGACATAACGTCGCCATTAGGCCACTAGGAATGAGCAAGGCTATTCTAAATTGGGCTCTTTATGTAACGATATGATCTGCAGACCAAATCGCATTAAAATAATACCTCGTGCATACATGCTGGCGTCTCGCAAGTAATTTCCAATCGAGTAGTTCTCGTTACCATCCAGTTCTCTAACGAAGGAAAGTATGCCTTCTTGTTTCAGTCCATGTTCTAAATTTTTACCTAAAATAAATCAGAAAGATCTAAAATTATATGCTTGATTATACAGGGTGTCAAATCCCAAGAAAATCAAAAATTTTAGAATAATTTTACATTATAAAATGATAGATTTCATAGCCATCGCTGACGCATTTTTTTCTATGATATTGTATTATTTGCAAATATAATTTTTCGAACATTGATACTTGCAAAATATATGTAATACATATAAATTTTGTGAATGCAAATAATAATACATCACTATTAGTGTATATTGAATGTTTTTTGTTAAATTAGATCGATTTTCAAACCCCAAAATTTAAAATATATTTTACATTTTACCCATTATCTTATGTACATTTGCTGCATTTGTATGGTTCATAGTTCATTTGCCAAAGTATTTATTACTATAAATAGGTATATATATTATATTTATTAACTGTATATTATGTATATTTCATGTAAACTATATAATTTTTAAAATACAAACCAAAAATACGCGGAATAATTATGTTTTCCATGTATTCTACAACATATTTATTAATCCGTATCTAATTAGCGTGACGTCATAAATCTCGCTCCGGGGCTGTTCTATTAGAGACGGCATTGGTCTGATATTTAGAAATGTCAAAAGCTGATCACATTTTACTTTTGACAATTATGCCATTTCGTGTTGATTTTTGCAAGAAGAGGAAGAACTGTCACTTGTTTTATTATTTTCCTTTTCTATTTCACGAAAGTAAAAAGAGTTACCTATCTGATTCGTTCAGGCACTCAATTTAAAAAATACTTAAAGAATATCAGTAACTTTTTTGACAGAGGGATTTTATATTTGCCATGATGGTAAAAAATAACGGTCAAAATTCAAAGTTATTCATTTTATAAAGCATTTTATAGACTATACACTATTTTTGACACCCTGTGTAGTTAAGGGCAAAGTCAGTCTAACGAGTCAGTGAAGATTTTGACCCACGACATCAAAAAAATTACAGAAAATACAATTTACACCTGTGAATTAAAATGACAGACACAAAACTGTTACTCTCATGTATCTTTTTGTTGGACAGACTATACATAACTATTTTATAATATTTTAAGTATAAGTACCGTATCGTCAAAAAAATACAGCGTCCAGTTTAATTTTACATACAACATGACAGCAATCTACATTTCAAAGCCATCTCTGACGCTGTTTTTTTTTCTATCACATGATATTTTATGTTTAGTACCTTGATGATATTTTAAAATTTAAACTAATATAAATAACATGATAAAAATTAACAAAAATTAACGTTTCGACAAAAAGAAATAGTTACACAGGAGTTAAAAAAAAAATATTTAGTGGATAATTTATTATTGTATTATAAACTTAGTTAAAATTTATTATAAAATATATAATTGATGAAATAAAAAATAAAAAAGATTTCGACGAGGATGGGATTCGAACCCACGCGGGCAGAGCCCATTGGATTAGCAGTCCAACGCCTTAACCACTCGGCCACCTCGTCAACTGAACGATGAGACTGATAAAGCACTTACCAACGGTGAGCGAGAATAAATCGGATCTATCCAAAATAAGTGCGATATGTTTCCAATTGAACTGTTTGAAAATGCTGGCGAAAACCTTCTTCAGTCGACATTGGCAGTAGGACATTCTTGTCAACGTTGGGTATTTACTTTTGTCTTTTAAAATTCCCTAAAATGTTAAAAATAATAAATAATAGAGGAAAGTAGGTAAGTAACCAAATATGGAATACCATTTAGTTTTTATGTTATATAAAGTTGCCCGCTTTGGCATGTTCACCAAAATGCCATCAAAAAAGTTTTAAAAATTTCAAGGATTGCTGAGTTTTTTGAAAAAAAAAACAGATTTTTTTTGAAAATCTCTTTTATTTTTTCCTGTCGTTACATTTTAGAAAATCAAAAAAGTAATTGCACATTCTCTAATGAAATAAATTCTAAACTAATGAAAAATGCAGGTCCGTATTTAAAAAAATTAAGTCGGCCTGTGTATTTCACAAATTATCAGCTAATTTGAAAATCTAAAAATGCTATCAGATAGCTCTAATAAAGTGGCTATGAGAATGTGCAATTCGTTTTTTGATTTTCTAAAATGTAACGACAAGAAAAAATAAAATCGATTTTCAAAAAAATCCTTGAAATTTTAAAACTTTTTTGATGGCATCTTGGTGAACACCCAAAGGGGCGCAACTTTGCCCTAATTTAACTATCTTCGTATCTATTACGGTTTCCGAGATATTAACGCTTGTACTTCGAATTTGTAGTACCCTACATAAACTAAATGGTATTCCAGATTTGGTAATTTTCCTCTACTGGATACAAAACGTCTCAAAGATGAAAACTTTCATGATTTCTACTGTACCGATGACGCATTTCCTACAGTTTAAACGTTTAATAGCCTCCTATTATTTTCTCTCCCTCAACCTTCTCAATTATCTATTCAATTTGACATAACTAATGAAAATGGATAATGATAAACTGCCTTGAATAATTACAAACAACAACTTTGGCAATTAAATGCCGGACCTGTACTCCGTACTAATCAAAACTTGGCAGAAGGTTCGTTTGTGTTTCTCCAGTAAATCGGCTTAATTCTGACATTGCGTGTATTTGGATAGTTAAATGCGATGTCCCGGCATTCTGGATTTAAGTCAGGTCGATTTAACGTTATTTCGTAATAAGCGAAATCACGGAGAGAACTATTTCAAGGTTAAGAAGGTGGTTGTTTCCCTAGATTAAGAATAAAAAAAGGTTGTTTCTTAATAGGTTCTAAATTACTATAGGGTTTAATTACAAAGTGGCTTTCTTAAATTGCCTAATTACATTTTTTAAAACCGCTTTGTAAGAAAAGTCTCCTTAAGTTACCAATTAACTTTGTAAAATCCCAGATAGACATTTTTTATGTCTCTTTTAATGTTCGCATCATGTTTTCGAGATTCTAATGGCGGATTTGGTATACCCTGTATACAGGGTGAGTCTTAAATAAGTGCAAATATTTTCAGGGCTGGTAGATCTGGATAAAAGAAACAAATTTTCTCTTTACAGTTTTTCAAATAAGTAAAAAATAATCGAGTTATTTTACTTTGAAAATTTCCCCAAAAAAAATGTTTTTTGCTTAAACTTCCAGAATCACATATCTTTTCTGGATTTTCTTTCTTATAAATTTAATCTCTTGCCATGTTGTTTTTTTTTCTTGCATTTACTCATCACTAGCTGGTTTCAAAAATATAATTTGCAGCAATTTAAAAAACGGCGTCAAAACGCCGTCAAAAAAAAAAAAACGGCGTCAATGACGGCTGGGGAATGACAACCGATAAGAATTTTGGCGCGGGCAATCTCTAAACGCCATTAACTAAAAATTGACATAAAACTTGTCAAAAATTTGTACTAATTGTAATGATAGAACGTTACAAGACACACAAATCTATTTCAAAAAATAATATTTATTTATTTTTCTCAAATTTTTAAATATAACTTTTAAAAATTATTTTTTCTCCAATATAAAAATAAATTACAACCTTCTTAATGCCACAGTAAGGGCTATTAAAAAATAAAGAGTACGAGCCAGGTAAATGACGTCTAGAGCTTGACATCGCCAAAATTATCACCGATTGTTATTCCTCAGCAGTCTTTGACGCCGTTTTTTTTATCGTATGGTATATGTATAGACAAGAGTGTGATTTTGTCATCTTTTGTTCTGACTCTCTATTTTTTTTGGTGAAAATATAGTATAAAGTGTTTGAGCTAATTATTATAATTACTACTACCCTTGATTAAGGCTACTACTTACTGGACTGTCACTTTTATTATTTGGATTGTATCTTCCTAATATCCTCGAAGTAACCGATAATTCTCCTTCTGTAGGTGGCTGAAAATAAATATAAAAATCTTTTCTAAAATGCTGCTCTAAAAATGACTTTATTTGCTATCATAAAAATAAATACCTACTATCGGTGCCAAATTCAAAATAGAAATTGAATTCCCGTATTTTACAGTATCTCTAATTAACATTGCTACTAATTTGGCCAATTACTACAGCGTTCTGGTTGCACAATTTCAATAAAATCATTAACAATTTTTCCAATACGATATTATAGGTACACGGCCAAATTTATTTTCAAATATGTTCGCAAATCTATTTTATTCTTTCAACACATTCCTTAGAAAATAAATTAAAATAAATTAATCAGTCTTAGAAAAAAATATTTCTTTCATCTACAGTAACTATCGCGAGTTAAAAGGTTTGTTCCAACACAGGAATTTGTACCAGATGCTTCTGCGTCTTACTAGTCAACTCGCATACCCAAAAATTCTACTTATCGAAATCACTGTTCCGAATACTGTTCATGAACGATTACAATTATTCTGGTTGGAATGCAAAAGTTATCGTTCGTTAAACGATTTTCTCGTTGATAGAACGCATTTTCTTTACTGCGCATAAGCGTAACTGTACCACCTTCTTTACTCTGTAGGTATAGTCTGTGAAACGAATAACTTTGAATTTAACAGTTCTCGCGGGCTTTTCTAGTGTTAATTTTATTAGTCTCTAATAGAATAGCCTCGGAGCGAGATTTATGATGGCACGCTAACATAATTATTCCTTACATTTGACTATGGGTGAAATCGTACTCCATAGTAGGGATGGGAAGACCCGGTTCATTCCCGTGACCCGTGTCTCACCAGGTCATTCATTGAAATGACCCGTTCATCATGATTCGTTCATATGAATGATCGCTTTACTGTGTTTCAGTGTAACTTATTCAGAACATTCTCGAAACTCGGAACGCTGAATGATGCATGAATGATTTTATCTTAATCATTATGAAGAAATATTATCGCGATCGCGATGCCTAGCTTGATTAACTAATAATGTGAAAACAATATAAGACGTAAATTACGGTAAATTAGGTATTAAAATGCGGCTCGGATGTTTGCATTGATCGTTGAACGGGCCGGGGCGCCGGAATTTAATTCGAACGACGCGATATGTGAAAAGAGTTCGTTTGGTTCGTTTTTCATTTCAATCTTCAATGATCCAATGGTTGTTTTAGGTTCAAATTCAGTAAGACACGGAGGAGAGGATTTTGTGTTTCGGGTCATATGATTGATAGGGTCACGTAAGGTGACCGAGTCAATCACGGGTCTTTCTAAAGATTCGATCATTGTGAACGAATCATTCACGAACGACACATCTCTACTCCATAGTCAATGTAGATAGTTTTAGTGTTAAGAATAATAATTTAAAAAAATATGTGGTCATTTTTAACAAGTTTATATTAGTTTATTAATTGCAGTAAACATTATGTGGTGTGTGGTGTGAATATTTTATATGTAATTTTTTGGATTATATTCGACGCTATTTTTTTCATATGACACAACACTGATGAAGGCTATAATGAGCCGAAACGTTTTTTTTAAACCAAAAAAAATAATGAAAAACCAAGTAAAAACTTAATCAGCGTTTTTCCCGAAACTAAATCCCAAGAAAATCAAAAATTTTAGAATAATTTTACATATAAAATGACAGCGATCTTTATTTTATAGCCATCGCTGACGCCTTTTTTTCTATGATATTGTATTATTTGCAAATATAATTTTTCGAACATTGATACTTGCAAAATATACATATAAATTTTGTGAATGCAAACAATAATACATCACTATTAGTAGATATTGAATGTTTTTTGTTAAATTAGATCGATTTTTAAACCCCAAAATTTAAGATATATTTTACATTTTACCCATTATCTTATGTAGATATTCATTATTTGTATATTGTAAAACATTTGCTGCATTTGTATGGTTCATAGTTTATTTGCCAAAGTATTTATTACTATAAATAGGTATATATATATATATATATATATATATATATATATATATATATATATATATATATATATATATATATATATATATATATATATATATATATATATATATATATATATATATATATATATATATATTGCATTTATTAACTGTATATTATGTATATTTCATGTAAACTATATAATTTTTAAAATACAAACCAAAAATACGAGGAATAATTATGTTTTCCATGTATTCTACAACATATTTATTAATCTGTAGTATCTAACTAGCGTGACGTCATAAATCTCGCTCCGAGGCTGTTCTATTAGAGACGGCATTGGTCTGATATTTAGAAATGTCAAAAGCTGATGACATTTTACTTTTGACAATTATGACATTTCATGTTGATTTTTGCAAGAAGAGTGTGGTACTAACGGTTTGGGTTATCAATTAATATGATGTAAACTTATTAGTACACACTTTATTAAAATACTTTAATCAAATACACAGTTTAAAGAAGGCTGAGTAAACTTATTCGTAGTAGTTGTTGAGAGTGTGTTGAGAGAGTGTGTGTGTGACATCGTTGACCGTTGACAGACGTGTTTTTGTTATTACTCTATGGACGTGTCTCGATATTCGAGTATCACCAAGGATAGAGTAGGAATGTCGCTTTCAACATTGTCACCACAAGAGGAAGAACTGTCACTTGTTTTATTATTTTCCTTTTCTATTTCACGAAAGTAAAAAGAGTTACCTATCTGATTCGTTCATGCACTCAATTTAAAGAATATCCTCGAGAATATCAGTAAATTTTGACAGAAGCTTTGTTCGGGTTCTTGTTATTACCGATTCTGAACCGTCCTAGAACTCGGCAGCGCATGCGCAAATGAAATAATGTCTTCATATTTCCTTCTGCGCATACGCATCACAGTTCTAGGACGGTTCAGAATCGGTAATAAGAGAAACCCGAAGTAAGCTAGAGTTATATTTGCCATGTTGGTAAAAAATAACGGTCAAAATTTAAAGTTATTCTTTTTATAGACTATAGGAACAAACCAAAAATTAATATCCTACCTGGTCACCCATTCCTGTGATGATAGGTGTGTTCCAATATGCAGCCAGTCTAGCCACAGGTTCCAGGGCAAATAAACAGGCGGGACCAATAAAGGCGATTACGTCAGACAGGAAGTGCATATCGGCGGCCAATCCCGGAGCTAAAACACCGCTGCACGAGGGATAGCTGAAAAATTCATTTCGGAGACACAATAAAATAAATTCGATTTTTTCTAATAATTTCTGAACCAACGGCCATATTTGGATAAAAATTGGTGTCTTGGTGTGTTTTTTACATGAAAAATTCAATTTGGATGTTTAATGATTGATAAGTAGCGATAATTTTTCATCGATATGTTTAGACATCCCTATTCGAAAACTTCGAATAAAAATATTAATATCTATATCTGTATGAAGGAATTGGAAAATTTCAATTTACATAACTATTGCTTTATTTTTTCCTATCTATAAGGCACCGTATATTTCATTTCTCGAGGGAGTAGGCAAGGGACATCGAGGTCTTCTAGCCAATATGGAGGAACGAATTTATTTGCAGTAAAAAAATAACGGTCGAAGTCTATATCGAAATAAATTTTTATTGTTATTGCGGAAACTTTAGGAAAAAGCGAGGAGGAATAACAATTATATGTCGAATTATAGTAGGGCTTTCATAAAAGTTTTTCAAAATTCCGGACTTGTGAGCTCTGAAATCTGGGCTTTTCTGAAAAATATATTATGAATTTATTTAAGCACTTTAAAGGGTAAATTAGGAATAATATTTTTATTGTGTGTGCATGATAAGTTGTTGGGTTTGTTTAACGTTGCTAATAAATGTTATGAGTTAATAGTAAGTAGTAAATAAAAGCAAAATACAAGAAAAAATATTATACAGGGTGCTACAAATTCGAGGTAATTCGAGCATAGGTATCTCGGTAACCGTAATAGAGACAAACATGGTTAAATTGGGGCAAAGTCGCGCTTTCGAATGTTCATCAAGATACCATCAAAAAAGTTTTAAAAATTTTAAGGATTGCAGTTTTTTTTGAAAATCAAGTTTATTTTTTCCTGTCATTGTTTCGGACATTTGAACACAATTTATTTAAACTAATTTCCAGTCCGGCTCTGTTTTTTTTTATATTTAATCTATTCATTGTTACAATATTGATAAAACAGTGACGTGGGGTAAAACATTGAATACGGAAAATCAAATGCAACAAAATAATAAACAAAAATTAGCGCCGGAAGGCACGTATAGCCGCCCATACTAAAATATTATGTTAAAAAAAAGTTGGTAGGCAGTTCTTTTAGTTGCAAAGTAAAGAAATTTTTCCAATTTTGGTCCACGCTTATTTCCCACGCTTATTTCCGCCACCTGTGGTCGCGTCCGATGAGAGTTTGGAGTTCTCCACACGGATTTTCTCAAAAAAGGACTACGGAAACACGGAATATCTCAAAAACTGCGACTTTGACTGATTTTGATGTTATTACAAATTTTGTTGCAAATATTATTCCTAATCTCAAATTGAAAACCGCGTTTTGCTAGCTACTGTAATTTTGGAGTTACGATTTTTTTAAATTTTTAACCCCCTCCCATACCCCCTTACTAACCACCCGCCACCACCAAAAACTAATGGCCAGATTCTCGGGTGCCACAGTATTTTTGTGCCAAATTTGGTTAAAATCGGTTTAGCGGTTTTTGAGTTATCGTGTTACAGACGGACAGACGGAGAGACAGACACCATGAAAATATTTTGTATTTAGGTCATTTATGAGCCAAATAACTCATTTTGAGTGAAATTAAAAAAACTTATTTTTTGCCGATCTTAATAGCCTACCATACCTGTTGGTATGATCGGCTAATAAATAATATAATATAAACAATTAAATCGTTTCCCCGGAAGATGTATTGGAAATGGTAGAAGTGCTACAAATAAAATTTAGCAAAAAGTAAATTTGTGCAATAGGGAGGGTGGTAACCTTTTCGAACATGTATAGCATTAGAATCTAGTTGGTAGAAGTGGTAGAAGTTGATTTATTTATAATAACTATGATAAATATTATGCATATTATTAGATCGCACACTGAGATTTCAAATTCACAATAAAAAAAAGTTAAAAATAATATCTTTAAATTGCTGACCTGGATATTATTTATTTGAATCTTCCAATTGGCTCGACTTTCCTTATTCAATGTTAATTAACGCTGATCAATATTCTTGCGATGAATATAATCAGATTAAATAATGAATATAATCAGACCAAACCAAATAAAACGAAATTCTAGACGACAGTACAACTTTAACGCCTCTTAAAAAAAGTCTAATACAACTTGTAAGTGTAAACCCACAGAAAACCGTGATCATACCATTCACCAGAAGAAGGAAAATAGACAAACTAAAACCGCCCACTCTTCTTGGTGAGACAATTACGTTTGCGGAGGAAGTTAAGTATCTAGGATTAAACCTGGATAAAAAACTTAGCTGGACCTCCCATCTAGAAAAACTACCAAAAAAGGTTTGCTATGCTCTATGGGCATGCCTCCGAATTTGTGATAGAAACTGGGGATTAAACCCCAAAAATATGTACTGGCTATACGCCACCAGGCCTATTATCACGTATGGCGCAGTTGCCTGGTAGTTTCAACCGAACAACGGCAAAGAATAAACTGTCAAAATTACTACGACAAGCATGCTTAGCTTAGCGCTGACTGATGCCTTTCATTCTACGCCGTCAAAAGCTATGGAATCCCTACTTGACTTACCTCCTCTTCAAATTCTTTTGGAGAGAGAGGCGAGATGGGCTACATCAAATACGTTTTAATAAAATATACGGAGAGTACCGCTTAAATTCCTGTCCCGATGTTGAAGGATGGCTATAGAATGTCAATGCATTTCCTACATAAGTCTATCCTTGTTCGGGAGGAGGTTTTCTGCGCTTGCTCGATCTGTAAGCACTTTGATTGGACAGTTCCAAATCATATGATATGTTTTGTTTTGGTTTTATTTATTTTAAGTTGAGGTTAAAGACGTTCTAATAATTGAATTAAATCTTTCGAAAAATTGGAAGTTTTTTGTTAAATATTCTGAAATCAAATAAATTTGATAATGTAACATTATGCGCATATTTATCAATTGAGATATTTTAATCGTATCCAACATGTTATGGCAAAACACTTTTTCAACCAAAAGTTTTCAGATATCTTCGATTTAGTTATTTTCGAATGTTTATTTTGTTTATATCTATTACAAACTCAAGGAGCAACAGTTTTTTACAAGTAGTGTTAATTTTGATGCTGGTGCAATACTTCTACTCGTTAAAATAAGTTTATTATAAATATTACAGACATTTAAAAAAATAGGCTATGGAATAGGTATATAAAAATTATTTTATATCTGTCTCACAATGGGGGGCTCCTAGTAGCGTAATAGGTATCTGCAGTGCGATTCTGTAAACATTTCCCTGTCTAGTGACTCATCAATCGTATACAAATAGCATAGGCTCGATAGGAAATTTCTTGCTACAGAGCTTACAGAATCCCATTGCTGATTTCTAAAATTCTTTTTCTAGATAGGCTTCCCGCATCGTAAAAACTCCTATTTTATGGTATGTAATTAGTATTCTGAAGGTATTAAAATATTTTAATATCAATATAGTTTTTTCACTGAAACTCGAGTTAAATCTTAATATACATTATTCATATTGTCGTTTTAGAGATTGTGCTTTTATACTTACTATTATGAAAATTTACTGAATAAAATATATAGTTGCAATCCTTTTACTGAACTCCTTAATTTCTTGTTTTATGAGGGGATAATTTTTGCTTATTTAGGTACTAATTTTAATCAGACCATTTTTTAATGAACTCATTTATATTTATATCATATCGTTCTAAGTAGACTTTGTTGTGTTAGACAATTATTATTAAATAAAACGAATGAAAAAAAGTGACAGGTACGATATTTTTTTTTTAAATTCAAAAAATAATTTAGTAAAACCACAATTATTAAGAAATTGTCTTAAAAACTTCGTAGTACAAATTGCATATCTATTTCACTTTTTTTAAAATTCAAAAAATAATTTAGTAAAACCTCAATTAAGGAACTGTCTTAAGAACTTAGTATTACAAATTGCATATCTATTTCACTCGACTTAAAAATTGCAGCAAAACAAAGTATAACAGTACATTTTTTACTGTCTATTGTTTCTTTTACTGCCCATGTATTTATGATCAATAATCAACATCAGTCCTGGTTTAAAATGAAACAAAAGTAATTCTTTATTATTAACATATTTTTTATTAAACAAATATAACTAAAAGTATGTACATATTAAGTTTATACATAAATCAAGCTAGATACAAAAAATATAATTATTTACATTGTTGCATTGTAATACTCTTTTATATTATGAAAAATAAACAATAATAATTTACAATAAGACAGTTTGTGTGTAACTGTGTAAAGCATTATAATTAGCCTTATGTAGTCTCTATTTTAGTCTTTACATTATAATGTCTTTTTTATTTTAAAATAGTAAGACTAAATATAATGCTTTTAACAATTATTGATTTTTGAATAAAATTAGTTTAGTATATTTTTGTCTTATATTAACATCCCTTTTATTTCTGATTTTGCTTTCATGATACAAACGAACATCGAGAAAAATTTCTATTATTCATTTTGTTAGTTGGCTTCTACCATACAAAAAGCAGTAGCCCATTCCCATTGTTCTATTAATTAAACTACAGCAAAAGTCTTTAAAACTAAATCACAAAATTGTCAATAAACGCACAAAGATTAAAATACAAACGAAAACACAGTACACGTGGAAAACAGAAAGTTAGAGAAAACTCTAATGGCGACTGCCCAAGTCCAAATTGAAAACAAAATCCACGCCGACGACGCGTCCAAAAATAAATCGATAACCCATCTCGACACCATTCGGCCTATAGAAAAGTAGCATTTCGGCGCATGTGCATTACATCCATCTACTGAACAAGGATGGACTTATGTCAAACTCTTAGATTAAGAATAGTCAAACTCGATCTTCTGTCCTTCAATACTGGGACATAAATTCTCTCATTGCTCTTATGGGGAGGCCGCAGTATATTTTAATTAAAACGTATTTGGGCTACATATAGGTTTCTAAATATGGCACGAGAGAGCCAAGGAACAATCATGTTCATACAAAACCGACTAGTAGACGAACTACAATCGGATGAGATTCTGGGAATGGCCTCGGATCTCACACCACCAATCCAACTCTTGACGCGCAACTACAACGTCCTGTTTCCGAATAGGGACGAATGGGATAAGCCGAGAAACGGCTTATTACATGCGGAAATGTGTTGGTACACGGACGGATCCAAAAACGATAAAGGATCTGTCGCAGGAATCTACTGCAGCAGTCCAAAGACTGAGATCTATCACAGTCTTGGAAAGCACACCACAATTTTCTAAGCTGAGCTATATGCTATTGAAACCTGTGTGCAACTGCTGGTAGAACAGCAATACACCGGGAAAACATGAAAACAATAAGCATATTTTCGGATAGTCAAGCGGCGTTGAAAGCATTTAAGGCAACGAAAAGCACGTCTATGACGATTCTTCATTGTAAGAAACTACTCAATATATTAGGAGATAGGAACAAAGGGTCGCTAATATGGATACCGGGACATGTCGGCCTAGAGGGAAATTAACGTGCCGATTCCGTCGCCAAAACTGGTGCAGGCTGGCCATTCGTGGGCCCAGTACCGACACTTAGCGTACCAAAATATCTCGCAAGAGACAGGCTCTGTGAATGGGTTAGGGGTGCGACGTTTCGGGACTGGTATGACAGTTTCGGAATGGAACATGCCAAAACAATCATAGCAGGGCTATCCAAACGTAGAACAGATGAACTCCTAAAAGTCCTAAAGGCTGGTAGGAACGGAGCGCGTACGCTTACTGCAGTATACACGGGCCACTGCCGGCTGAGATCACACCCTTAGATCACACCTACAGAGGATGGGACTGGTGGAAGACGCCGAATGCCGGCTCTGTATGGAAGATGACGAAATAATGAAGCACGTTATGTGTACCTGCCCCGCTGGGGACAGGACCAGGTTTGAGGTGTTTGGCAAACCCACGCTAGACCTATCAGACCTAGAAGACATATCGGCCTATGTTAAAAGGCTGGGTCTTGAGGGCGATCTTTAATGCTCTTTTTCTATTAAAGAGCTTGTAGAAACTGAGCCACAATAGGCCCTCGCGGCCGCAGTGGAGAGCCCCACCTGGGACCCACTCTTAGTCAAATACAAATGCAATACAATAAGATTTTTGCATAAAATCATCTGGAGAGATAATATTTGACCTTTTCAAAATTTACTATGACCCGCGTTCCGATGCATCACACGGTATATTCGACAAAAAACAAGAAATTGTCATTGATTTTGTCTCACTGCATTGATTTTGTTGTCATCCGCTATACAGTTTAAAGGCCAACACATATTGGACATGCTCTAGACAGGCGTTAATCCTAGGTGTCTGCCGATGGCGACTGGAATTCGTAACAGAGTCCAATGGCAAATCTAAATATTCCGCAGGCGTCCGATATGTGCCAATTAGTGTCCTTTTATCCACGCGTCCACGAGTACGTTAGGTGTATAATTTAGTCCGAAGGGCTTTTTTCAATTTTCCGCCCTATTCACGGTCACACCGAAAATTGTACGTTTCGCAGTTTGTTTTCACCTCTTCAATGACAAGTTATATGGATACGATGCTGTTTTGTTGTTAGTCTTTGACGATCTTTTGATATACGTAGTTTGTACGAAATAATTATACGTTTGTTGGAAAAAGGAGAAAAGAATATAATTAAAACATAACAGTGTGGTCCATCAGAAAACGGGACATCCCATGTAAATTTTGAAAAGGTTAAATATTATCCCCCTCGATGATTTTATACACAAATTGTATTAAAGTTTTTTGGAGAGGCTTTAATTTGTACTTTTTTCTAGAATTTCTTATTGCTTAATAGACATTTAAATGGTATTTGCAAAAATCTGCCTTCAAATTACTACAAATGTATAATACGGCTCAGAGAAAGCTACCTAAAATACCAGCATAAATATGATTTTGTCGTTGTCAAATTCGATGTCACATTTTGTTTTGTTTACGATTTTTTTGTTACAAAAAGGTGATTATTAAGTTTTTTTAATTTCACTCAAAATGAATTATTTGGGTCATAAATGACCTAAATACAAAATATTTTCATGATGTCTGTCTGTCTGTCTGTCTGTAACACGATAACTCAAAAACCGCCGAACCGATTTTAACCAAATTTGGCACAAAAATACTGTGGCACCCGAGAATCTGGCCATTAGTTTTTGGTGGGGGTGGGGGGTTGGTAAGGGGGTAGGGGGAGGGGGGGTTAAAAATTTAAAAAATCACAACTCCAAAATTACAGTAGCTAACGAAAGGCGGTTTTCAAATTAAGATTAGGAATAATATTTGCAACAAAATTTGTAATAACATCAAAATCAGTCAAAGTCGCAGTCTTCGAGATATTAACATATTTTAGTATGGGCGGCTATACGTGCCTCCCGGCGCCTAGACCTTTAAAAATCTATTTACTAAACTTCACTGTAGAATTAACAGAGCAGTAAATGTTTGCACAGTTCAAAATTTGGTATATTATTGTAAAGTTTGAATCAAACCAAATTTACCTTTTTTGCACTTTTAGTAACTTAATTTTGTGGTGTGCCAGAAATTTTTCGTTAACTTCCTCCAGAGCCATATCTACAGCTGGACCGCATCTTTCCAGATCAAATGGATAATTCAAATTGGAAGCCATAAGTACTCCTACGTTGTAGTACCGAAAACCTTCTTGGAATTGCCCAGCAAAAATTCCTCTGCATTGAAAACCGACAATTATTATTAATAGTAAACTCTTCATGTTGATTAATCTAGAAAGAATAATATAACACCTTAGTTAATTTTATTGTACTATACATAATATTAAATATATTAGATTTAGTTCAATCTAGACCTTAATTTCTGACACCATATCCTTAATAATGGTTTAATATGGTCTCAGAATACGCTGTACAAAAACTGTACATCACATAGTTTTTGAAAAAAAATTGGAGAATTTATTTTATTTTCCAAAGCAGACCTACAAAATATACAGGGAATACTAATATTCTGTGGACATAGAACAACTACGTTTTTTTTAAACAATGATGTAAGTGAATTACAATTTACTTCTATACAAAATTAAAAATACCTACTTATGATTAAAAACGGCTTATTTCAAATATTTCTACTAAAAATAATCAGAAGTTATTTTAATACAAAAATTTGCTCTCTAAAAATTACTTCAATAGAAAATTTAAAGAATTTTTCATTTAACAGAAATTTATCTCTAAATATATTTTATCTATGCTATTAATTTTAATTTAATATAAATTTTATATTAACACAGATACTATCGTCGGAAATTACTTCTGACTTGTTGGTAACTCTCTTGAGCTGGGTCTTAAAACTTTATTAAACTTAACGGTTATTTTACGAAATTACTTTGCTATTATAACCTATAACATTTACGTTGAGGAAACGCTCAAGCTTTATTTTAAGAGATACTTAATAAAATATAGTCTTTATAGTCTTAAGTATACCTCCCCAAATTAAACTAAGATGAAACAATTAAAAGTAAATAAAGTAAAAGAGAAGTAAATATTTTATATGGTGGTTTAATTGTTTTAAATAATACAACAATGTTTCTGTTAGGCCTTGAGTTAAGGCGCGTTTACACGAGTCAAGTGAATTGATCAAGTCACTTGAAGTCAACTGACTTGAAAGCATATTCTGAAAAAAAGACCGCCATTCTAAAAAAGCCACTTGAACGTTAATAGTCAACTGAGAGCAGAAACAACTCACTTGATCAATTGACATGATTTGTCGAGTTTAGACGGTGTTGTAGCATTCATACGAATTGAATTCAAGTTACTTGATCAATTCACTTCACTCGTGTAAACGCGCCTTTAACTCACTAAAATTTGGTGTCGGTCTCACGTCCAGTACCAGACCAGACACATTAGTACCACAGATTAGGTAGGTCTGTTCGTTTTCCTGTTATTATCGATTCTGAATCGTCCTAGAACTCTCCAGCGCATGCGCAAATGAAATAATGTCTTCATATTTCCTTCTGCGCATACGCATCACAATTCTAGGACGGTTCAGAATCGGTAATAACAGGAAAACGAAAAAAGCTGGTATCCTAATCTGTGTTAGTACACCGAAATTCTACCACCTGCAGCTGATTTTAGGTATTTTTTTGTTGTCTTACTAATTAAAAAACTCATATTTAATGTTATAAGTATACAGATAAAAATCTTGTCCCTAATGCGTGGTACGAAAATTGTTTTTTATGACGATGTGCAAAGGAGTCAAATTTCCTGTGCGCAAAAATAAACTCGCGTAAAATAACAATAAACAGCGTAATAGAGAGATATCGCTAAACCGAATAGCGTGCATGGACGTTAATAAGGTCAGGTGTTATTTCCTTTACGTGAGGTGGTATTAACTCTCTTCTTTTATAGTTATCGGATCGGAAAGAATTTTGATCGCGTCGCGTCCGCTATTTAAACTTAACCTAACTTTGAATTTAAAACTTTGAAATTGTTTAGTTTACTAGGTATTTTAAAACTAAAGGGCTAAAGTGTTTATTTCCAGTGCTTTATTGTTCAACGTCTGCCAGTGGGATTAGGGCAACAAGCAACAAATTCTCTCTTTATAGGTTCTTTAGTATTGGAAGAGGTGGAATCCATATTTTGGGCCATATTTATTTAATTAAAACTAATCCCAGCTACTTAAATATCAAATTACCTAATAAAACTAAAGCAATAATTCAAAGCAATTCAAACATAACCTAAAATAAAAGATCTCGCCGGCCGGCTCCGGTTGTCAAATACCTGCACATGCCCATTTAAGCAATTTTTAAGCGTTATCAGAGGTTATTTAGAAAGAGCGCTTGGTGTAATTGATCCGCAAATTACGTCAGGCGGTAACGTTATTAGCGGGTGTTGCGTTAAAAATTGACTCGCGCATATCGTAATACGCGTAAATACTGGATGACGCTATTCGGTTTTCCGATATCTCTCTAATAACTGTGCCGGTCAGGCGCTGTGCACAATTTTAGAGGCCATAAGTGGGCGTGCCAAATACGTTTAAAATAAAGTATACGGAGGGTACCGCTTAAATTCCTGTCCCGATATTGAAGGATGGCTATAGAATTTCAATGCATTTCCTACATAAGTCTATCCTTGGTTTGTAGGAGGTTTGACTAGACAAGGATGAACCTATGACTTGAACATTCGACTCGATTTTCTGTCCTCCTTCAATACTGGGACGTAAATCCTCTCATTGCTCTTATGGGGAGGCCGTCGTATATTTTATTTAAACGTTTTTGGGGCGTGCTATGTGCGCAAACTAGTCACCTAACTAGTGTCCGATTCCGAAAATTGGAACCACGAAAAACAATAAAGAAAAAACAAAGATTATAATCTGTGCTATAAGTACTTTTTTTCTTGTTAGTGGTTATATATTTCGCAAGCTATGTAATTACATACTAAAGAAAAAGTATTAAATGGCTGTACTTACTACGTAAAATACAGTCATTTAAATCCCGGCTTTATCTCATATTTTAGAGTCTACTACACCCCAAAGGCGTTCCTTTCAAACACTTAATCAGAACAAAATACCTAGCAAGTTTGACAAATATTTAATATTACTTTTTTTAATTTTTTTAGGAACTTATAATTTATAATGGATTTGATTCTTCAAAGTCCCCTCTACACATATGGGTTTATCTGTCAGTTTTACCTGTTCTGTCAAAATGATCAAGCAAATTTTACGTGTAGACAATAAACAAAACAAGCGTGTCGCTTGCAACAAAACTGTCGTTTTGCCTAGACTGAAAATATAGGAATATATAATATAAAAATATAATTAAAAAATTTGCAAAAATAATACGGATATGATCATACAGTATCTTTAATAAGCGACTTTTATAACTCTAATATTTTTGTATAATTTCTCAAAATAATGTAACATAACAAAATTGCAAAATAAAAACACTAAATCACCACAATACACCAAAACACTTTTACTTTTACACTGGACGCGCGTTTCGCTAACCATGTTAGCATCATCAGCAGATGATTATAAACTCAAATTGCTGATGATGCTAACATGGTTAGCGAAACGCGCGTCCAGTGTAAAAGTAAAAGTGTTTTGGTGTATTGTGGTGATTTAGTGTTTTTATTTTGCTGTGTAACACCAAAGGTTCCAACCCTCAACTGTAATAACAAAATTGTTTAGAGATATTAATTTAATGATGTCTATCGTCTGTCGATTTAGAAGAATGTAAATGAAAGACACACTGTTCTATTGTAAAAGTGACAGATATTATAATATGTAGACGCGGCTTAAGGCTTAAATTTATCGTATTATAATGCTGAATTGTGAATAGGAGCTCATTAATTTTTATTAATTATCTGAACGTTTTGTTTGTAATTCCTCGTTAAATATAAAATTTATTTTGCCTGTCTGTTTAAACATACCGTTCCCTTTATTTCCTTTATTTACCCCAGAAAACCCTTTGTGATTTGCCTTATTCCCAAACCATTTATATCGTCGGACATTATGAAAATAAATACTTCCTTTTTGAGAGAGTTTATAAACTGTTTTGAATAAAGTTTTTTGTATAGAAATTTATATCTCAATTAAGTAAAACTTAATTTTTATGATCTGAATTTCGCTCAATTTTTTTACAATTGATAAAACTCATTCGCAACAACTAAACTTTTGACTTTGTTGTGCATTTTTTGTCGCAAGTTTGTCTTGTTTTGTCTCAAAATCGTGTTTACTTTTTGTCGCCTTGGTCTGGACCCAACATCACATCAAGCGTTCAAGTTTAGTAGGCTATGTCAGTCAATGTTATGTCAGTGTCACAAATTTAATAATCTTTGGCATTAAACTTCATAATTATTGTTAAATTAATTAACGTTTGAGTTTATTTTAGTGTTTAATTTTGATTGATTCCTAACGGATAAACCATAGACAAACTAACAAAAGCAAGACGCGTCAACGCTGTACTGCAAAACGGCAACAAGTTTGATAAGAGTTTATTACCGCGCTTGCGTCAACTGGCCTTTTAGACGAGGACGGTTTACTTATGGATTGTGTATTTTGTAGTAGTCTTTTAGACGAGGATGTTTTACTTATGGATTGGGTATTTTGTAAAAAGGATGTTTAATTAATAAGCGTTTATTAAAATCAAAATACATTTATTTCCCATTCTATCGGTAAAATAAACAATAATTTCTGGACGTAACAGATATAAAAACAAAAAGTCAAATAAACGAAAACGCCATTCCTCTTTAATAAGAGAATACGTTTTCGTTATTAACTTTCATTTAATTTAAATAACAAAAGATGATAAAAAACAACAGTTTATGGCAAACAGAAATAAACAAAGCATTATTCTTCAAAAGGTACAAAAAAATAATTATGTATATTATAATATTAATAATAGGAACAACAAGAAACATCTTAAAAATATACAACTTTTTCAAATATAAAACAAAAACATAAACTTCACATTTCCACAAGAATTTAAAAAATATTAACATTTAGAGTCTATTATAAAATATAAAGCACGAAAATTCAAATCATAAAAAGATTTAAAAGATAAAGATTCTTATAACTTACAGTCAATTTGTAGGACCTTCGGTTTGTGTACGTTAGCGATGTAATCACAATAATATGTATAATCACAGTAATTATTATGCTCTTCATAAGTGTAAAATGTATTACATTACTTGTTTTCGTTTTGTACGCTAATAAAATAATAGTAATAACCAATCAAAACGCAAAATCAGGAATTCAACAGTTCGTTCAAGGC